AAGAAGGACGAAAAGAAGATCAATAGTGCGTTGGATGAGGCAACTAAGGATCGCCAGAAGAACCAAAAGATTGCTGGTAACAAGGACCCTGCCCTGACCAAGGGACTGGGAAAGGTCGAGAATGCGCAGAAGGGTGCGAAGCAGACAGTCAATGGCTTGACTGGCGACCCTAAGAAGGATAAGGGGTCGTTGGACAAGCTCGATGCTACTTTCAAGAAGGGCAAGAAGACTAACGAGGAGAACCTGAAGGAGGTAAGTTATACGGATCATGATACCTTGGCGTTTCTGACTAACAACGCTCAATTAGGCCAAGAAGAACTTCAACTAGTCCCATGGCATTGACTCTGATAGGTCCAAGTGCCTGGTCCATCATTGCAGAAGACATGGAAAGTCCCTGGATTATTTAGTTCCTAAGGGGATCACAGAGAATCATCAGTTGAGAGTCAGTTGGATCACTTTTATAGGCACATTAAATCCACTAGACACTCAAAGAAGATCCCTGAAGAATGATATTGAAGCTGATTCCATCCATTACCCAAGCGCTCCTGGATATGACGCAAATGGCTTCCTATACGAAAACCATCCATCTTCAACTGCATTGATATCCCGTGGGAGCTATTCAAAATGTGCCTTGAAAGTACTCCGCAACCTGGGGTGGGAGCTGACGATACGCTCCAAGCTTTCCATCGACGATGAGATCTTCAAGAGTTGCCTTTTCGTATCCTTGGACCTCCCAGATATCGGTCCCAACCATTTTGGCTTGCTGGCCAGTGCCCCATATCTTACGGCAGTACCAAGCCAGGGTGAAGAGACTACCTGATTTGAGCCCTGCCTCGACTTCGGAATTGACTCTCTCAAGACTCAAGGAGGAGAGGCGAGGAGGAGCGCCGTGCTTCTTTTCCAACGTAGTAGCAACCTGTTCTCCAGTGGCCTTCAACTCCGAAATTGAGATTGACCTATTTTGAAGCTGAGCAATTGGTGTCGAAGCGAAGATAGCAGCATATGCCGCCGCCACGTAATTTCTAGTGCTAATCATCACATCGTTAGGCATTCGAATTTGCTCAGACTTCAGCATCAGCCGCGACTTACCATAAGTCCACAACCTCCTTGGCACTGTTTCCCGAGTATACAATTCTGTTACCGGGCAAGTCTACACCCATGCCACTGTTATGTCGATGTTCTAGTTAGCCAAGATGAAGTTCAAAGGTTGAAACGCAAGCAGTAGAGGGTAATCTTACGGAGTGTTGAGTGCAAACTCTGCAAAGTTTCCAAGCAGTACCAGCGACGTTGGTATACCAGCGGCGATAGAAGCTTCCTCAACTTGGCGCTTAGCCTTGTTGACGCCGATCTTCAACCCTTGTTCGTCGTATCGACCCGCGAGCTTTGACGGCGAAAACAACTTGACTGCCGTCTTCGGTATGGCCTTGATAAAGGCATGCTGTCGCCCAACGCCTTCGTGCCCAACGAGGGAGCTGGGAGACTGTCAGAGCGTCTGGTCGGGATGGGCTGAACCCGAATGGTACCTCGAGACCGAGGAGTACTTACATTACGACGTCAATGTCATGTAGGGCATCAAGGAGTGCTTTCTCATCGTTGACATCCACCTCCACACTGGTGACGGAGGCGGGCAGGCTTGAGATATCGGATCCTGGTCGGTAAATGACCCGAATTGGTGCCCCCGAAGCGATCAAGGCTTCGGTTATCTTCGAGCTTGCCCAGCCTCGATGCCCGTAGATGGCGATACGATTGAAAGACGACATATTGGGACGGAAAGATGAGAACTGCTAATATTACTTCGCTGAGTAGTTTAAGGAGGTATGTGCCGGGGTTGGTTGACTGGATAGACGCACTAGAGGCAGCAAGGCCAACTTATCTATCACTTTACCAACGTATATCTGTGTTTCAAAGCATCGACTTGAGGTACCATCTGTGAGACCTGACTACTAGTACCTATAAGCAAGATTGGTCATTCTTGTTGGTGGGACTATGGAGACCTTCCCGGTCTCTTTTTAACGAAAACGAGGTGCACAAGCCACCGTGCCACCTCCGTCATGGTAAATGATGATTCCCATGCACCCGACATCCCCGCTCACTGTGTCACCAGCAGGAATATTGGTTTCCCAATCGTATCTGTGGAACAACACTGATTCAATTAGTCAGCTTTGGGTGGATATAACGATAGTCGTTCCTGAGCAGATTTTGCCTCCGAATACTAATGGGGAACAGTGGGTGCGTTCCGTCCATTTATAATTTGCAGGTATTAGTCAAGATGACACTACCCGGGCGTGTTTGCTTCCGATGAACTGAAGTCTCCGTCTCACTTGGCCGAAAGGAGATAAGGGTCATCACAGTCTACTTACTTTTGTTAACAGCCCGGGATCTGTTCAGTGAAAAGGGCGTTAAATATTCAATATACTGAGATTTGTTTTACCAAGATCATCTGCTTTGATAATCACACATGCGTCTTATGAAATGGGCAAATGGGCGGACGAACGCCCAAAACCTTGTCAAGTCAAAGCGTCTGGGAACCCATATCATTGAGTCGGCCTTCGGGGGTCGAGTTGCTGTCAACGTTATGATGCATGTAGTTTGAAAGCGGAGAGCGTCTGCAGCTAAGTACTTCAGCTTTCGGAGCCTGAGCCCCGGTGACATAGCTTAACATTTTCTGACTCTTACATTCGAAGACAAGCGACTTCTACATGGGGCAGATATCCGGTCCTTGGGGCCCATATTATAATCTATCAGACAGATCCTTATGATATAGGAGCTCAACTGGACGAACAGCATACATCGTCTTAAAATGAGCTAAGCACTGCTGGAGACGAAGCCATTCAGCCAAAACATTCGGGCTCAACAGTAAGGTTTTAAATGTTGTGTCATAGTTGAACTGATTGTTGCCAAAAGTATGATTGATAGTTGTATGATTTGTCTATTACGATTCAATACAGGTGCACAAGCACAATGTAATCATAGACGCTTCGTATCTTGCTCCCGGAGTGCTGTGCCCACCATCCATAGCACTTCGACCAGGAATTACGGCCAATGGATATGCCGTGCCTGTTCCTGAACTCATGGAGCCTGCGCCCGTAGGGCTCTTTGTAGCGGCGAGCCACGGCTGAGAGTTACATTGCCTGCGTCATCTGTGTCCTTCTGGTAGAAATGCAAACATTAAGAGGCTAAGATACAAAGAGACTCAACGACAACTGCAGTATAGTACAAATGCAAATGACTTTTATGCTGTGTAGCCCATCAGTAATTCACGTAGAATCAAAGTCGGCCGATAATCGGGCTTCCAACGTTGCGATTTCGGTCGTGCAAGTTTCACGAGCCACAAGAAGATTACACATCATGAAACAGCCCTTCACTGTCCGCCGAGGTGAAACGGCCACGACTAGAGTCTTCTCTCACCGAGCCTTTTTCCTGAGACGGTACAGGAAATCTCAGGTGAGCATGCTTGGTACGTTCCGGACTTTCTCCTACTCAGTCTTCCGCCCGGCAGCGGCAGCCGAGTGTAGGCGACGGCCGCACTCGGATCGCCGCGGTCCGCTTCGCAAATCAGCGGAGGCCGCGCACGAACGGTTGGAGGAAATGACATCACATGGCACCCTGGGACTCGGATGTCCGTTTGTCGTGCCAAGGATAGCATCTGATTCAGCGTCTCTTTGCCAATGTTTTCGAGTTGGCATTTCATGAAAGATCAGATTGTGATCATGCATTTATAAGGGGTCTCCCCTCGTTTCCTGACGAGAAAGCAAGTGCATCGTGATAGTATCCTATGCAATCAATTTGACGTCTATACTTCAAGATGAAAGAACCACAGCGACGATTACGATACAATGTCGCCATATCACTCGATGGCTTCATTGCACCTCCAGATGGATCAACGGATTGGATCGTACAAGACGACAATGTCGACTTCCTGGCACTTTATGCCCAGTTTGACACGTTTGTTATGGGCCGCAAGACGTATCAGTGCATGTTCGCTATGGGCGAGCAAAATCCCCTACGACAATATCCAAAGCAGAACCTGGTTGTTGTTAGCAGAACTCTGAGGAGCGACGATCACCCGGCTGTGACTATCGTATCGCACAACTTCACCGGCTACGTGGCGGACCTCAAAAACGCGGAGGGCCGGGACATCTGGCTCATGGGCGGCGGGCAGCTGGCGGGGCCGTGTCTGGATGCGGGGATCCTAGACTCCGTCGAGACCGCGATCATGCCTGTGATGCTGAGGAAAGGGACCAGAATGCTACCGGACTCAGTGCTCACGCCGCTTGGGGGATTCAAATTGGAATTGGTGGATTGCAAAAAGTTAGACACAAGTGGTATTGTGAACTGCAAGTACAATGTCAGCAGAGGAATGGCAGCGTCTTTGGGTGAAGCATTATCATTCTGTTGAACGGGGGGGCAGTTGATATGAAGAAGAGGCTCCGAGATACCCTCACGTGGTAAAACACACCCAGCCGCTGTGCAAGGTCGTTTAAAAGTTACTTTATTTACCTAGAAGAGAATAACTGTTGACTTTATCCACGATTATCCGATGGAACTTCCGCCGTCACCTCTGCAGGGCTTCGGCGCGTATATCCCCTTTGCTCAAGCAATAGATTTAACTGGCCGGCATGTATGCATGAATTCCATTAATAGGTTGCGAAGCATCCAGAACTGAACTGAATCTCGTGACCAAATATTCATCATCTCAGCTAGCTAGGACATGCCGCTTGAAGATGGAGAGGACGCGTCGCCGAAATTGGTGACCAACACGTCGCAAGTGACGCAGACGTGCAGCGGATCTACGTAGGACGTGGACAGAACCCCTCAGCGCGTTGGTAGCTCTCGTCCCACCATGATCTCTACACAGGTAGGCAGATCAAACATCAAGAGAAAAAGCGGATTATCAAATCGCAAATTTTCAGAGTCTAACGGCAGAATTCCAAAGGTCTCGAAGGATTCGACTTCGCGTCTTGATGCTTGAGCGGCTTAAATCCGCGACGGATTCTTCCCTTAGCTCCGCTAATCCCCTGGCGGTGATCATAAACATTGAGCTGTGGGCTCATAAATAACGCTGAGCCTTAAGTGATCTGATTGTTCCCACACATCTTTCTTTCTGACCAAAGATGGCGACAAGAACAACTCAAAACATAGTGATTCTCGGCGGCACCGGCAAGGTTGGTCGCCAGATCACGAAGCTGTTCGCACAAACATCGACCCCCGTCTACCAAAGTTCCCGGAGCGGGGCCTCCACAACGGAGCCGGACGCCGAAAACGTTCATGCCGTCGCGTTTGACTGGGAGAATGAGCAGACATGGACCACGGTCCTAGGCGTCGGCGCTGCTAGTATCTTTCTTGTAGCACCGCCGGTGATGGATATGCTTCCGCCGATGCGGTCATTCATTGACCAAGCGAGGATGCAGAGTCGCAAAACGAGATTTGTGCTGCTGAGCGGCAGCCCAGTTGAGCCTGACATTAATGGGTATGCGATGGGTCGGCCGCATGCGTACTTAGAGGAGCTCGGCGACAAAGGCGAGGTGGAATGGGCTGCATTGCGACCAACGTGGTTCCAACGTGAGCTTTTGTGTTCACCATCCTAGTTTAATGCCAGTGAGCTGATATGAGAGCAGAAAACTTCGCAGAGCAGGAACATCATCGCCTGGCGATTATCAACGAGAGCACCGTGTATTCCGCCACCGCCGACGGCAGGATTCCCTGGGTGGCTACAGAGGACATCGCTGCCTGTGCGTTCCAGCTACTCACTCAAGAAGACGCGCCGAATGACGAATATCTCATTCTTGGGCCTGAGCTACTCACTTACGACGAGGTGAGCGCCGGTGACCCTATTCTTAAGTAATATGCGAAAATGTTAATTGCTGATCTTTCCGTGGCAGGTCGCTGGCATACTCTCCGGCGTTCTGGGACGAAAGATTGTGCACAAACGTCTTTCATCACAGGAGCTGGTGGACCGTTACGCCGCTCAGGGCATGCCGCGGGATTACGCGGAGATGATGGGTGGGCTGGATACGGCCATCAAGAACGGGAGCGAGGACAGGACCAACAGCGTCGTCCTTGCGGTGACTGGGAAACAGCCAAAGCAGTTCCGTGACTTTGCTGAGAGGAACAAGGCAGTCTGGGCGCAAGATGCCTGAAAACATGGTCACAATAGGCGGCTCTTCAGGCTTGAAGCGAGTATTGGCTCACCGAACTCAGGTGAGAAGGATGAGTGCATGCGGCAGTGACGCTGTGAGATGCCTCCCACCCTTGCTCATACTATCTGGTCGCTACACCAGACTTTCTTTCTCGGCGAGCGTTCCATGTCGCCTGAACGTACATAAAAACGAGCAGAAGGGAAAAAAGGTTTCGTTTTCAGTCAGCAAACGCCGCCGTTTTCAGCCGAAAGCTAATACAGCTTGTCCTCGCGTGCGGGGATGTGCGCTAAGGTTGAAACAAGTCATGAGATCACAAAGCCTCCCTGCGTGCCTGAAAGTCTGCGACATGAAATGCAAGCTCATTATCCTTTCTACAACATCTATCTAATCAGATTGCCCAAGCTCCGGTTCGAATGACTTGTGCATGAATCTCACGATATGAACTCATCATTTGTCGCGATTGAGGATGAAATGCCGGGGAAGGCCGGCGGCCGGGGTGACGCCCGGAGCTCGGAGGAGACGGCGAACCCACTGACGTACCCCAAGGCGGCTGAGCCATTCAGTCAGGACCTCTTCAAGAACCCAACGTCGGAGTATCGAGGATGCCCTCTGTGGTCATGGAATACGAAGCTGGAAAAGAAGAAGCTCCTCCGCCAGATTGATTATCTCAGTGAGATGGGCATGGGAGGTTTCCACATGCACGTCCGGACCGGACTAGATACCGAGTACATGGGTCCGGAGTTCATGGATCGTGTACGAGACTGCGTGGAGTATGCGGAGAGTAAGGGGATGCTCGCTTGCTTGTAGGGAACCGCAAATCCCGACCATTCTTCAATGAGATTGCTTATGACACTCATCAGATATGACGATGATCGATGGCCCTCTGGCGTTGCTGGGGGCAAGGTAGTCAAACAGTACCCAGAGCATAAGACGAAGCACATTCTGTTCACGCCGTATCCATATGGCTCAGTTGAGCTCGGCGGGTAAGTCCTCAGGCTATCTTTCTTGAATCCATCTGACGCGAGTTTTAGTGGATGCGCCCCAAGTTCAGCACAGGCCTGCCGGAGTGAAGAGGGATACCTCTTGGCACGCTTCTCAATCACACTTGATGAGAATGGACGACTGAAATCGAACAAAAAGCTTGAAGAGGGTGAGGATGCTGAACCAGGTGGAAGAGTCTGGTACGCATATGTCGAGATCAACCCCCCTTCATCTTGGTTCAACGGGCAGACATACATCGATACAATGAGCACCGAGGCCATGAACCGCTTTTTGGAAAGCACCCACGAGGTTTACAAGGATAAGATTGGCGACAAATTTGGCACGACGGTGCCCTGTATCTTCACCGATGAGCCTCAGGTGGCTATCAAAACACAACTCTCCAGTCCGACTGGAGTGGAAGACGTCTTTCTTCCATGGACAGCAGATCTGCCCGACACATTCAGAGCGACGTATGGCGAGGATGCAGATCTCGTCACTAGCATCCCGGAACTGCTCTGGGATCTCCCGGGAGACACACCAAGCTTATCCCGCTACCGCTTCCACGATCATGTCAGCGAAAGATTCGTTACATCGTTTCTCGATCTGCTGGCAGATTGGTGCAGAAAGAACAAAATCATTCTCAACGGCCACATGATGGAGGAACCCACCCTCCGTTCTCAAACAACTGCCCACGGCGAAGCAATGCGCTGCTACCGAAACCAGACGCTTCCGGGCATGGACCTTCTGAACGACTGGGTCGAGTACAATACCGCGAAGCAGTGCACGAGCGTCGCCCGCCAGAACGGTGTTCGCGGCGCCATGAGCGAGATTTATGGATGCACCCACTGGTACTTCACCTTTGAAGGGCACAAGGGCTGCGGAGACTGGCACGCGGCTCTAGGCATCACGTTCCGCGTGCAGCACCTCAGCTGGGTCAGCATGGCCGGCGAGGGCAAACGCGATTATCCCGCCAGCATCGGATATCAGAGCCCATGGTATAAGGAGTACGGCTACGTCGAGGACCATTTCGCTCGTGTTGGTGTCGCGTTGACGCGTGGCAAGGCCGTCACGCGAGTTGGTGTGATCCACCCCATCGAGAGCTTTTGGTTGTGCTTCGGTCCCAATAACAGCGGCGACGATGAGATTGGTCGCCGTGATCAGGCTTTCGCCGAGCTCACAAACTGGCTGCTGCATGGCTTGGTTGATTTTGACTTCATCTCCGAGAGCCTTCTCCCGAATCAAATCGGCGAAGATGTTTCGAAGCCTCTCAAAGTTGGTCAGTGCGAGTACGATGTTGTCATTCTGCCGAACCTACGAACTATTCGGTCATCGACCTTCGAAGTAGTGAAGAGATTCGCTGCTGCTGGGGGTACCGTCATAATCGCTGGTGACGGGCCGGTTCTTATTGATGCGCAGGTTGCGCCACCGGATCTTAGTCTTGACATCGAGCCGTCGGTCAAGGTGGCTTGGGGTCAAGGCGATATCCTCTCTGCGGTATCTCAAAATCGTGACTTGAAGATCGACTTGAAGGACGGAGGACCGACCGATACCCTACTCTATCAGATGCGCCAGGATGAGGAAGAAAGATTTGTCTTCATCTGCAACACGGATAGAAATAATCCGTACGACACGCTGGTCAACATCAAAGGCGACTGGGACGTGGAGGTTTTGGACACCTTCACCGGGTCAACTCATCAACATAAAGCTCGTTATGAAGGTGGTTGGACCATTTTCGATCACAGATTTGAAGGTTGTGCAAGTCTGCTCTTGAGACTTTATCCCGTGCCAGGGGAAGAACTGTCTTTTGTCAGTATCGAGGAAGCAGTAGCGCTGGCTCCAGCCCAGCACTCTTCTGCGGAACTCAAACTCGAAGAGGTCGTGCTCTCGGAGCCAAACGTCCTGATGCTCGACTACGCTCTGTACAGAATCGACGATGACCCCTGGGAGGACTCTGCACGACAAGAAATCCTCAAGATCGACAATGAAATTCGAGGACGTCTGCGCATCCCGGCTAAGGGTTCCGCCTGGAAGCAGCCCTGGTCCGTCCCGCAGTCGGAGCGAGCAGCAAAGGTCTATGTTGACCTCAGGTTCGAGTTTGATTCCACCGTCATTATCAAGACTCCAGCCTATCTCGCGATGGAAAACCCCGAAAACGCGAGAATCACCATCAACGGCAACAAACTCTCAGTCCAAGAGAAAAGGCTCTCTTGGTGGGTCGATGAGGATATCAAGACCATTTCGGTGCCGAAGAGAACGATTCGCAAGGGGAAAAACATCATCGAGCTCAGTATGCCCTTTGGTGTTTTGACCAACCTAGAAAGGATATACTTACTTGGCAGCTTCAGCGTCGAGCTGAAGAACAATCTGCCTATACTATGTGAACGAAGACAGAGCTTGGGTTGGGGCGATGTGGTTACACAAGGTCACCCATTTTATGCTGGTAACGTGACGTACAACTGCAGCTTCTCACTGAAATCTCGCTCGACTGTCACCCTCTCGATTCCAAAGTTTGCGACGCCCGTCATCAAGGTTCAATGGAAGGGGAAGAGTGGGCATATTGCCCTGCAGCCAAGGAAGCTAGATCTTGGTGAACTAGAAGCCGGCAAACACGAAATCTCGATTACAGCCTTCGGTTACCGGTACAATTCATTTGGCCATATACACCTCACAGAAGGTGTGTTTGGATGCTGGCCTGACCTGTGGCGAAGTAAGTAATCTAGTGGTAATCTTTGCATGGCAGCATGCTAACGTAATTCTCAACAGCTGGTGGATGGGCTTGGAGCGAGGAATACCTGTTGAAGCCTACCGGAGTCCTGGAGAAGCCTTCCTTGATTGTGGAATCCAAGGCCGGCGAGGGGAGTGAAGAATGGGTTGTCTTGGTTGAATAGGTACCTCAGCCTTCATCTTGTTCAACCGCAATTGAGGAGAATCAGCAAAATTGTACGGTCATATGGCCATGAGCGCTACTGTAAACGTTTTATTGTAATACTACTCTTCTGTACAGAAAATGAGAACTGAAAAGTTTGGTCAAGAACTGAGGAGGGGCATCCCATTGTACCTCTGAGCGTCTTTCAGCTGAGTATCGTGTATCGCAGTTGTATTCATCCAGTAAGACCCCTAACCTGGAGAGCCATGGGAACGCTTCCATTAGCACCGACACCTACAGGAACGCCGACCCTATCAGATGTCTGTGGAAACGAATCTGCCGAGAATAGTGTACCATTGCCGATAAGATCAAGGTCGGCGCCGGTGAGCTGATGTCGTCTGTCAGAATGCTATTTCACAGAGAATTCAGGCACATGAAGCGTTGACTTACACCAAATAGGGATGACGGGCCAGCTGCTTGATAACAGACGAGACTGCCATTACTTGCGCTGCAGGGCTCGTAGCCACGGATGGCGACATTTTCGACAGGGGTTCCGACAGTGTTGAATGGATAGCATGCTAAACTGCCCGTGATGAAGTTGCCGTACCCGTTAATACAGCCAATTCTTTGGCCGTTTTCGAATGCAAGAAGCTCAAATGTCCTGGGGAGTGTTGCAAAAACACCGCAGATCGAGCCGAGAGTCAGGGCAATGAACTTAGGATGCATTTTGAAATATCTGATGAGATGTTTCTTCGAAGGAATATCAAGAATCAAGCTTCCTCTAGTGGTACCTAGCCTCCCATACCCGACATTTGTACTTGTATGCTGCCTTTGTTCCCTGGGAATCAATGAGTGTGAGAATATTGAAGGCAAACAGTAGCGCCACCGTCGTACTACAGGCGGAGTAAATGAATTAAGCTTAACATTCTACTCTGAACGATGTCAACGAGCAAACTGACAATTTTATGACAAAGGCCATGTATTGCATTCATTGATAAGACTTTGAGTTTCACATAAAATGATGGAATGTCACGATGGGTCCTTGAAACAAGTAGGATTGATGCCATCAAATGGAAGCCTGGGCGTTGAATGTCATTTCAAGGTCCACGAAATTGTATCTAGTTTTCCAAGGATTGGAGATATGAAGAAGGAATCAGTATGCCACTCGAGTTTTGGTAGCATGAAGGGCATGCAAACGAAGTGCGGTGGAAATGAGATTGATCCCTATAGCTAGTTTGAAACTAGGCTTGACCTCCTGGATGTCGTTTGTCATGGACCAGATGTAGTTGGAGGCGCTATTCAATGAGGTTCTTGGCACAAGTAGGATCCTAATCCATGTAGGATTCATTATCTCCCAAGACAAAGGACGTGTACTTTGGTGCCTAGGTGCTGGATGATATCCTGTGATGAGGTAGCTCATGGTGCTCTATGAGGGACCTGACGCAGCCCGAGGATTGTCACGCAGGCATCATTTCAAGTTCGAACTACAGGCCAGCGCAGACTAGGGATTTGATGCAGAAAGCCATCATGGTCGTACACCGTGGAATGATCCCTTCCGCGCCTGGCCTGAACAGCATGTACGAAATAGAAATCAGCGAAGAGTCTTATAAGTTAAACGAGGTCACATCTCTTCTAGATTCTTTCTGCACCACCGGTTATCTTTCATATGAAGACAAATAACATGAATCAAATGTAAGATGATTGTCAGGACCCCGTGAGCGCATTCGGCTTTGGCCAACGACAACGGCCGCTTCATCGCTCAATCTTCAAAATGCGCGCGCAAGGTTCCTCTGGGAGTTGCAACCGCAGCGTGCTGTCAGCACCGGCCAATTCCACCTTCGTTGTAAACCTGGACGGGTAAAGCACACTGATCCTGCTGTCCTTGTGTGTCCTCAACCCTTTTCCAAGCGAGAGATTCATCTCAGTCGGCCCATCTCGTCTCCAGACAGCGAGGTAGGTAGTCTTGCCATCTGCCGAAGTTAAGGCTAGAGCCATCCAATCGTCGTGCCATTTGGGTAGATCCAAGGGCCACGCGGCGTGCGCATGACGCAGGTCTCCTCGCATACTCTTGTAGACTTCCAAGCCCTCTTTGACGATGGCCAGCTGATTGTCACTGAGCAGGTCGACGCGGCCGGATAGGTAGACGCGACCCATCATACTATTGACGACACTCAGAGCATTGAGCTCATCACTCCATCCGGGCTGAGGGTAGGCCCAGCTGGCGCTCTGCTCCGGAGTCACAGCCGTGGGACATGCGGCTGCGATCGCCGCGTAGAGCTTAGGATCCTGCTGGTCGCTCGTGGACTGGATTGAGTGGACGGCCAGCATGGCGTAGTCGAGACGGTTCGCCCCTCCAGAGCATGTCTCAATGACGACGCCGGGGTAGTTGTCCAGAAGTGCCCTGACCCAGGCTAGATAGGCGCGCTGGTGCTCGAGATGGGCGGCACCTGCGGTACCTTGGCCATCCACATCGGTGCCCTGCACCACGTCGATGTTATAATCGAACTTGAAATATCTGACACCATAGTGGTCGATGAGGTTATGCATAACCTTGTTCATCCAGGCTATAACTTCGGGGTGGCGGTAGTCAAGTGTCCAGCGTCGTTTCTCCACCACACGATGACCATCCTCTTGGAAGAAAGCCTCGTCGGGCAGCTGGCTGCCTACAGGGCTCCGGACGCCGACTACCTCTGGCTCGAGCCATAGGCCGGGAATCAGTCCCTTGCTTCGGATGTCGTCCATAAGCTTCATGAAGCCTGACGGAAAGCGCTTGGTGGACGGCTCCCACAGACCCACGTCGTCCCACCAGTTGCCGTCGTCGGCGTACCAACCAGCGTCTATCACAAAATACTCGGCGCCGAGCTGCACGACTGGATCCAGCAGCGCGCGTACTTTGTCCTCATCTGGGTCTCCCATGAGACAGTTCATATAATCATTGAAGATGATTGGCATTCTTTCCATGTCGTCGTGCGGCCTTCGAATTTGCCTCCTGTAGTCAGTCATAGCTGCGAAGGCCGCCTGTTCGTCGCCCTGGACGCGACAGCAAGCAACTGGAACAGTCGTGAAAGACTGGCCAGGTGACAACCGCTTCTTCCAGCCGTGGCTGCTCAGCATAGGTCCGCCGGCGGCAAGGTAGATGCTATCTTTGAAGTCGCCTAGGTCCCATCTCCACGATCCATTGTGCTCGACCTGCCACATCCATGTGTCCTCATTGTTTTTGTGTTTGAGAGCGCCCATGGGAAGATGACCACCCGTGGAAAAGGATCCGCGGGAGCTCAGCTCGAAGTGGGCAAGCGAAGCCAGGAGGCCGTCTCCCAGCTCCAGGATGCCGTTGTTGTCGAGACCGACGCTTGGGAGGGAGCGCTCCTCCCATTGCCCCTCGCGGAACCAGGTACTGTTGGCGTAGAGGAGTGAGTAATCCTCAAACCATCGGTAAGAAGTGGACGTCATGTTACCCACCGTCAGAGTGGATATGTTGGTGAGGACGATGTCTGCATTGCTGGTGGACTGGTTTGTAACGGTGGTTTGGGCGCGCACCACGGGAATGCTGCCGTAGATGGTGAACCTAGCTTCCACATGAATGTTTGTGGCATCGTCGCTACACTCGATAATCAGCGTCTCTTGAGAGCCGTCGTCACTTTTGATGATTCTGTGGCTCTGGTACCGCAGTCGGTCAGAAAGGGTGGTGCCAACGAGCGTCTTGGCCGTTTTGATGTCACCACTGCCTTCGCCGCTCACACGGATGCTGACGAGCGGAAGCTCAGACGATTCGAAATTAGGCGAAGAATGTGGAGATGGCTCCACAGTGGTTGGCAAGATACGATCAACGCAGATGACGCCGTCCTTGTTAATCAAAAAGTCAATTCTTAGGGCATTAGTATGCCATTGAATTGTCCGTGTCTCCTTTTCACCCATCTTCGGCCTTTGGATACAAGTTTTAGTAGAATTGGTCTGCTGTGTGGTGTGGTGTCGCGCGGTGCCACGAAAGAACAACGCAATATCAACACAACAGATGAGAGCGGCTTTGGGATTGAGAAGTGACTACGACGCATTTTACATTTAGTAAGCCTTTCTTAATGATCCCTTATGTAGCTCGGATGATGAACTGTGGCAAGTAAGGCTTGCTTGATGAGATATCACGGGCTCCTGAACCTGTGCATTGTAACAAGCATCACGCCAAAGGCTCGTATCGTCAACGAATTGCATTGAGCGGCCATCGAGCGTCGCGGAGACGGCGCCGAGATTAGCCCCACCTCCACCCCCACACCCGGACCCGAAAGTCGATCGCGGCTCCGGGGCTGTGAGTAAGGAACAGCACTGTACTGTTGGCAGCGTTCTGCAGCTTGCCGCATCGATCGATCCTAACAACGCAACTTGCCTGGATGCAGTCCAAGGTGATAGCCACGAACTATCTCTCTTCACATTAAGCCAGTATCTAAGGCGCCCATCACCTCGTGTAGGGACGGGGGCTGAAGGCAGGTGGGGGTGGGGTTTCACTCAGTGAATGCATGACCGTCACCATTCTCGTCTTCCACCTGCAATCTGGCAAGGACTCTCATGTTTATTCCAGACCCGGTCTATCCAAAGGTCTCCCCAGTAGTCACGCTTCATTGGCACAGTCCACTTCCAGAGCTTGCAGGCCGATGCTGTGTTCTTGTAGATGAAAGGATAAGAGAATCATTGAGTGAAAACGTATCTCCTCCATCGGTCAATACTATGAACTTGTATATCAATGGGTAATTCTTAACTATGGTCATTTGCTTTAACTCCCTGTTAGTCCATGTATGTTGCATAGTTTCCCAATTCCAGAACATGTCGCAAGAACCATAGCCAGCTTCTAGCCCATCACGAGAGTTTATTGAACAATTTCATTGTGTAGTGGCTTTGCCTCATTGAGTTCAAAATCTCTGTTATTGACGGACTACTAGCTTCTATCATCACCATTCTACCTCACCTTGAGCCTTGGCGTCCAGACTCTCATGGCGCCGTTGCCTCCACGATTGGCGCGTAGAAAATAAGGAATAGCTGTCAACTGCAGTGGCTCGTGGTCGTATTCCCACGCCTTAGAACCGTAAAGCCGACTCGGCTCGCCCGTGACAACGCCCACCTGGGCTAGCTTTCGGCCTGTGACCTGGAGGGGAACGACGTTATGAGTGGTCGCAACAGACACAGGCGATCCCTCCTGGGGTGCTTGCTCATCTTCCAGGGCGATGTAGTCAATGTCAACGGCCTCGTTGTCTACATCCTCCAGACAGTACACGAACGGGCCCCGACGGAGGCAGACGGCGTCTTTGCCCGTCTTAGGGTGCGCATACAGCCGGTGAGCCGGTGTTGGAAGTGAGAGGCGTATTTCGGTGTCTGCGAGGACGTTGGTGATGTGTAGATACCCCTGATTGAGCTCGCCTTGCTCAGAGCATGTGTACCCTTGGTCCTGCACCCAGTCAGGAATCCGCAATGCGAGACTGGCGGCACCATCCATGCGGATAGTGACCTCGCCGGACCAGGGCATCTCGGTTATGACGGATAGCTTGACCCCTTTGCCTGCCAGCGTCAGTTCTACCTCACTCTGAACGTACATGTGAACGGCCACAAGGCCCCCAGCATCATCGGTCGAGTAGAGGAGTGAACCCAGCGATCCAACTAGCTTAGCTACGTTGGGTGGGCAGCAGGCGACGCCGAACCAGCGCTCACGATCCTTGGACTGTCCGGTCTTGGTTCGTAGGACGTTCTGGTAGTAGAAGGCCTCGCCGTCAGAGCTGATGGCGCCGAGAAAGCCGTTGTACAAGCAGTTCTCCATGACATCCGCGTACTCTGATTTGAGCTCCATCTGGAGCATTCGCTGACACCACATAATGAGAGCAAAAGCTGCGCAAGTCTCGCCGTAGCACCCTTCCATCTCTAGGTCGTTGAGGATGAAGGCTTCCCCGAAGCCCTCGTTCTGGCGGTACGAGCCAATGGCGCCCGTAACGTACATTTTGCAGTCTACCATGTTCCTCCACAGCCGCTGAAGCGCCTGCTTGCACTCGGCCACTTCAGGATCCGACGCGGCCTCGAGGCGAATGAGGTCCGTGACGGCAGTGTAATAGTACATGGCGCGCACGGCATGTCCCTTTATCTCAGTCTGCTCGCGTATGGGTCGGTCAGCCTGGTTGTAGGCATAATCTCTAGGACCATGAAACCAGCCTTTAACCTCGCTGCCCAGACCGTCATACGGATCGGCACCGCGTGCAAAGGCTTCGTGGTCAAAATATGTCTCGCCCTTATCGTCTGATGTGCCACGCTCCAGGATGAAGTACTTGGCGAGCTTCAGGGCCAAGGGGTCATCCGTCATATCGTAAAGGCGAAGCAACCCTAGCTCGATCTCCTGGTGGCCGGGATATCCGCGCTTTTTGCCCTCCTCGCGGCCAAAGACCGAATCGATGTGATGCATCGATTTAGTAGCCACTTCCAGAAGGCGTCCGCTTTTGGTGAGAGTCTCGTAGGCTACAGTCGCCTCGTATAGATGCCCAAGGCAGTAGAGCTCGTGGAGGTCGCGCAGGTTGGACCAGCGATTCTCGAGGCCACGGACTGTGTAGAAAGAGTTGATATAGCCGTCCGGATGCTGGGCATTGCGAATCATGTCGACAGTCTCCTCCACAACGCGCAACATATCCTCGTTCGGGTGAACGAGTAGAAAGTTACAGGCTGCTTCTGTGGTCTTGTAGATATCGCTGTCCCAAAAGGCGTGGGGCTGCGGTTGGTGGCCTTCTTCCCATGTAAGGCAATCCCAGTGACCCTCGGTCTTTTGCGCCTTGATGATAGAAGGCACCGTGGACTCGCGGACACATCGCTGAAACTTGGCCCAGAACGGTGATGTCACGCGAGCGCTCTGAAAGGACACGCTACTAAGTGGCATGCTGGGTGGCGGAACAAGAATCCTATGTTCGATGTCCTGTAACTCGGTACTTTTCCGAGATGAGATGTCAGCTTCGGAATGGGCGAGGTTGACTAAGATGTGAGAAGGCAGAGGGAAGCGTCAATGAGGAAGAAGCCAGAAGAAAACAAGGATAAGAAGTCCTCACCTTCTTAATTATTGATCCTTCAACTCTGGAAGTCTTGTGGCCATTTGAAGTGACAAGCCAGACTTGGATGAGGTTGGCGGCAAGGGATCTGCGCTTCATTAAGGGGAGGGGGCCTAGTTTGGTCCAGTGTCGAGCGAGGTTTGTTCAGACCCATTCTACGTACGCTAGAGATTTTCTGTGTTCGAGTAGTCATGCCAATATGCCCTTGCAAGCTGTAGACACGATGGCGTTGATAACAGTGCACCAGCCTAATGCAAAGTACAGAATCGCGGCTTTGAGAGAACCCTACTCCCCCACAGTCTTCCGAATAAACAAACGGTAGTCTTAGTGCATGGTAGTCTGACCTAAGTCCCATTCCTATTGGCGTGATAATGACTACTCCCCCTCCTCCCCCTCCCCCTTGTCCTCTCTGTCACTCCCCCACCTCATTCCCGCGAACTGCTCCACTCCTGGTATCGACAAAACCACTTCCATCTATCTTGAGCTAAGCCCCAAAGAATGGTACTCGAGGAGCGGTGTCCCATTTTCCAAGGCGGTTCGACGATCTCAGCTCGTGTTCCAAAATCCCACTTTTCACTAAATGCCATTATGATGGAGACCACACGTCTTTGGTGATATATAGCAGCCTAGAAATGACACAAGATTCTCAATCATCTATAGTCTTCATTACCACACCGTCTACGAAGGCTTCAGAAGCTCAGAGGCACGTACGCCATTTACTGCTTGGTGTCGCGAGATCAGATGGCGTATAAATACAGTTTTTTATTTAAAAAAATAAATGCGGCATATTTTTGCATCTGGATAAGATTGAAGTAGGAATAGCTCTCTGACAGGCACCGTGTTTACATGCTGTTTTGCTTGCGTGTAATTTACCTTTACCTCTGCCCTATCTAATCACATATGCGCGCATGACACGTCCATTCTCTTCCAGATATTGAGTGTCGATGACTTTCCACTGCTGTCTTCTTTTCCATCTATCAAGCTCTACAGCACATGGTACAACAAGTGTGGTTCAATGTTCTTTCTGGCGGTTTCTCAAGCATTCTCGATTGTGGTTGTGGTGACGATGTCGTGTTTCTCTTTCGATATGTGACGATCGATGTCGGCAAACTCTGTACGCAGGATTATTAATACACTTGCCAGTTGAAGCAGACCCTGGGTGAGTAGATAAGGAGGTGGTATGGCTTCCAAGCATAGGAGCAGACTTACGGTCGACATTGGTATACTTCCACTTGCGAGCGGGCACTTTGTTGTCAAAGAGTAGATCGATCTCACCAAAGGGGCGGTCCTTGGTTTCGGGCAAACGGAACCAGCACCATATGTTGCAAAGGAGATTAGTGCCGGCGTAGAAGAGAGCAGCTTTGGCACCCCAGTTCCAATCTGTCATTCACGTTAGCCTTTCCGGACTTCCAATTTGTGTAGGGTCCTGAGAAAGCCATGAACGGAGATCTACGGAGACATGAATAGAAGAAAATATGAGCAGAGAGAAAATGAGAAAGAACTAAACATTGCCTACCATCAGGGGAAAGCATTCGTGGGGTGATGATGTTATTGACGATACCCGTGCAGACATATGCGAAGCGACCAATGGTGATGGTTTTGTAACGTAGCTTGCCAGAAGGCGTCTCGGCCACAATTGGGTAGGCGACAGGGCCAATGGTGATGACGTTCACCAGCTGGCATACAATCATGACAATGCCTATGGCGAGACGGGCCGCGGAAGAGTGGGCAAAGCCCAAGCCACCGATAACGATGAGTGAGAAGAACATGTACGTCAAGCCGCTCATGTAGATGGTCGCGCGACCAAAATGGGGGAAGAGCAGCCAGCAGATGAAGCCACCGATGATGAAGCAGGCGTTGAGCGAGATGTTGAGATCAAATGACTGCTCGACGCTGAAGCCGGCAGATTGAAGAAACAGGATAGCAAAGCCCTGGATCGCGTTGCCACACAAGATTTGCGCACACCAAACGACGATGTTCTAGCGACACGATATCAGCGAACCCTGCCAGTTGAGTCGCCCATAGCATACTGCAAGCACGCATATCACACCGCAGTAATGGTTGGTGAAGTGGAAAAATACTCACGATCTCAGTGCGGCGTAGATTAGTGCCCTTGAAGCAGTCGATGAAATTTGCGTTTTCCGTTTCTGCGCGCTCTAGCTCAGTTGTGTAGCGGATGTAAGCCAGGGTAGCCTCGACCTCGTGGTCGTTGTTTCCGTCGGCATTGCGCAGACGTTGTAAGCTCTTGCGAGCTTCCTCAATGTTTCCTCGGCGAACCGCATTCCAGGGCGACTCAGGCGCAAAATAGGCGGCGATGAAGAGAGGTAACGGCCAGATCCACTGGAGTGAGATGGGCAGCCGCCAGCCCCAGTCACCAGGAACGGTAAGGACGACGCGAAGAATTCCGGCCGAGATAGTGAGACCGAAACCCCAGCACATGCAGACCCATGCAGTGACGTATGGCCGTAGGACGGTCGGTACAAGCTCGGAGGCGTACGATGTGCTGAGCGTCTGTATACGATGTCAGCTATTTCAGGAGACTACTTCATTCGGCAAGAAAAACGAAGGTCAGGTCACATACCTGGAAGACACCCCAGGGGATGCCGCAAGCAAATTGACCAATGGCCAGCATCGTTAGACTGGTGGAGAAAAAAGGGATGAAGATAGCAAGTGCCATGATGACCATGAAAAACATGAGTGTTTTGCGCGATCCGAATCTGTCTTGTGCCCAAGCGTTGATGACGAGACCGACTAGCTGGGAGACCGCGGATGAATTAGACAGGCCTGTCTGCCACTGAGTCGGGATAAGATTTTTGCCTTCTTTTTCACTGTAGGTGCCGAATCGAGCCTGGAATTGCGCCTGTCCATAGAATGAGCTCATCTAGGGAAGAGCGTGTACGTCAGTCAAGCCCACGACAACATGAGTAGAGAATAGGAATGGTGGGGGGAGAAGTTGTTCCTATGGAATAAGTACCATGTTGCCGTCAAAACCTTCCATGATCAAGGCCACAGACAGAAGCATGGCCCAGAACATGGCAGCCTTGTATTTCTTGAGAGCCTCGCGAACTTTTAGCTGCGCGTCGGCCTCGTTGCTGGCCTTGGCGTCCTCAACCATTTTCTTAAACTCAGGGCTGACAATATCGGTCTTGTCAAGATGCCCTTGAGCCACCGTGACATTGGATACTGCCATGACGGCTGATACTGGCCTGTGAGAGGCTAGGAAGTGGAGGCGAGTTGAATTTGGCTGCAATATCAAGCTTTTTCGAGACGATGACTCTTCAAAGGAGTTCAAGGGTCCAGTCCGAGTAAGGGCCTGGGCGATGACGTTCTCAGCGAGCCTTATACTCCTACCTCATTCGCACGCGACGTAGCCAAGTGCCAGTCAGGCAATATGTAGGCGTTGGATGGCTGAACAGAGAGCCACGTGGAATGAGAAAGTACGTTTCTACCATGTACGTGTATGCGTGCTCCAGGATTAACATGCTATTCAGCCCTCCACCCCCACATTTTCCGGCTGGCGAGTGAGAGTGATAGCTTCTTCATTTTAGGCTGATCCGTATTCTTCAACCATTGACGGCTTGGATCATAGTATTCGGGTGATTAAGAACACGAAAAGGCGCCTAATGAAGCCAGATGGTGGAGCTTTTTTGTTGCATGGTAAGCTCAAAGGTCAATATCCGGGGTAGCGCTGGGCTCATCAGTAGAGAGACAATTCATGCGAACATCACGCCTGCATCGCGGGGAAAGACACAAGTGTATACTCAGGACAGGGTGCCTCCAATGCCAGGGATTCGGCGCAATGGCGTTAGACTCCACCTCCACAAATCGTTCCTAGCTCTATCCTCGTCACTTACAAGGAATTTCTGGGGAATGAAGACGCACTAGCTTCCAATACGAGGGGACCCTGCCACTGAGGCTTGTTGGAGCAGATAATCGGACGACTAACTGGCCATGTGCCTAGAGCCAACATGGCTAGTTCTAAATGCCTAATCCCGCAGCAAGAAGCTGAAAGGAGAAAGATCCAACCCCAAAATTCTCTTTAATAATGTCATATGATTGGCGCGGTAGGCTGCATTGAGACATCGACAAATCGGCTTCGCGGGGGTAGCGGACGGGGATCTCCACATATCCACTCTGCAAAAGACCAGACGGAAAGGAGTGGGGAATCGCAGGATGATGGGCCGCGATTGAAATGTTTGCGGTCTTGTAGCTCGATTCGAATCATTGCTAGAACGTCACAAAATGACTGGCATGGTTCTGCGAGCTGACAATGTGCTCCATGCATAGAACGCGAGAAGTGCGATAATATGTTTCTTGGGCCGGATGAGCTCGGCAAAGCATATCTAGGTACACAGTGACTGGATAGACAATGCTCACTTACTTGTATGCCCAAGACACTCCAAGCTAACGTGTTTGGTCATCAAGTTCTGGCTTTGACATTCAATGCATCATCAAAATATTCAATAAGCCCTGTGGAAGACTTGCAAGGTTTGTATCTTTGAGTAATCCTGAACATCATCAAGACTGATATCAGTTACAAATGGTTTAGTTACTTTGAGTACATTCATTTTGATCTACTCGAAGCCGCTTCAACTGCGTGATCATGTTACACAGCGTCTTGTACTTGATTGAGAGAAAGATTTTATTCGTAGTTTTTGTCTGAATAACAATCGTAAAACTTGATGTTGCTTCTGCCAGTCAAATAGAATTGAAGACTGCTTTGTCTTTGAGGATTGGATAAGGAATTTTCACAACTTCTTCAGCAGCAACATGCAACAAGCAGTTGTCGCAGAAAACATCAACCATTCCTTGCAAAGCTTCTGTTGATGAGCCTCATACACGAGGGATGCTCCCCCGAAAATGTTCATATAATTGAACATACCCATAGGCCCTTTACCGAGATCCAGCAATCTCAAAGGCGTAGGCAGTGAACTCATCACTGGGCCAAACTGGGAACTGGATGAAGTTATCGTTGTACGATACATCAAAGGTGCCCACATCGACGGGCTCGTCGACAGGTGTAAAGCGGCCGTTTTCGAGACCGCCAGGGAAAGGGAATGCCAAGACTTTGATCTTGGTCTCGCCAGAAGATGGTAGACCGATGATGTCGAGGTTGTTGACACGGATGGCGGACTCACCAGTCTGACGGCGAGAACCATAGAGCATCTTGAGATGGTTGCCCTCGACGGTGGCGTAGACATCAAAGTCCTTATTGGTAGAAAGCAGTGTCTCAACACGGTGACCCTGCATTCCGGTGCCGTAGTACTTGTAGACGAGATACTGACCAGTTGCTCTATAATCCTGGTTCTTGGGATCGTAGACGTTGGGATCACCACCGCCGGGCTTGGTGAGAAGACCGCTCAGCATATCGTAGGCCTGGAAGGCGGGAATCCAACAGCTCCGGGCCCCCTTGGCATCGATCCGCTCGAAGCTGGCAATGTACCAGGCGCTGAAGACAGGGGTCTGCTCGCTGTCAAGGGCGTACTCGTTGATGTTGATGGGCTTGTGGGGCAGGCCATACTTGTCGAGAAGTTCCCACAAGAGGTTACGGGATGTCTCAAAGTCCGGGTTGCCCAGGACATGCCACTCCCACTCGTCGGGGATGGTGCCGTTGACCTGAAGGAAGGAGGCAAAGTTGGTCCACCACTCGTTCAAGACAGATGGATCCGTATTGACGGCAGGACCACCAATCTTAGTGTCGGGCAGCTCCTTGCGCAAGTAGGCATAGGCATGGGCCCAGGCTTCGTGGTACTGAGCCTGAGGTCGGTCCCAGTAAACTTCACCGTTGGGCTCGTTCCAGATATCGAGTGACATGCCCTCAAGAGCGTCGTTCTCGCGCAGATCCTTGACAACTTGGGCGAGAAACCCGTCCCACTGGGTCCAGTCGCCGCCATCACCGGGGTAGGGCCCGTCTGTCTCACGCTGGCCGCCATCGGCACCCCAGAGGTCACTCATCATGGTGGTGTATGTGCCATTGTACTTGCGTACGATTCGGTAGTTGGATATAACGCCATTCATGCGGACCTGTCGTTGTTAGCGCTCTCTCTTGAGGTACATGGTATGTGGAGGTACAACAGAAGCGCACGTTACCTACCTTGTAGTCATCAAACGAAGTAATCCATGCGTGGCCTCCGGCTGTCAGCGAGGAGCCGCCGCCACGCGAATAACCGTAACCCATGTCGATAAACCACTTATCAGGGATCTGGTTCAGGTCCAGTGGCAGGCCGTAGAGGACACCCGAGGCGCCATGTTGAGACTCCCCACGGTCTACTGCTAGGTTAACAACAGAGATGGCGTCCGGACTGACATCACGACGCGTCAAAGTCATGGCTGTCACACTCGTGACCAAGCATATAACGGCGCGGAACATCATGGTGAAAGCTCGAGCTGTGAACGAGGATGTGTCTTCAGATCGTTTGGAACATGAAAGAAGCTTGACTGGCGAGATGCTGCTATTTGCTGATGCACGAAGAGAGAGATTGCCGTGATCCCCAGAAATCAAGGGCTTTTTATAATGCTGCTCACAATCATTTCACTTCAGTGCTTGCCTGTAATGTAGCAGTAGAATATCGTATCATCAGCTCAGCCCCTCTCTGCCTTCTCTTTTGCCTAAGTTCCTGCCTTCCCTCGATCAAGTCCTGCGCCCAGCTTGGCCTCTCTTTGCCGCCATCTGAATCAATAGCGAGAGCGCAAGAGTTGTGATTGCGGGGGAATCGTTTCCAGATCGACATAGGCACATGGAAAAAATCTCATGTATGGACGGACTGAATTCCGCTTCACCTCCCTACCTGGCGGAAGAAGACTGTGCCGGCGTGATACTAAGGTGGGGTCTTGGTGCTGGGCCGAGCCGCCGGATCTGGGGTCCGATTCAAGCTCATCCGCCTGGTCTAAGGGCAGCACCCTGGCTTGTGGCAATATTGAATCCACAATTACCGAAGTCCGACCTGCATTGGCTCACTGGCCCTGACAACTTAGAGCCAAACGGTAGTTATCATGGTCACATGTTCGTGAATCTAGGCACCCGAAATGCTTCGTACCCATGTTCAAGATGCAAGATGTACCATCTATATCGAAGGTGGAGGTGGGGGTGGGGGTGGAGGTAGAGGTCAGGCTTGGGGACTGTAGGTAGGACCCCATGTCATACTATTGACCCAAACGGGCGACTTGACGAGCAATTGCATCCATGGTCTGCTCCGTAGTCGAGGAAAACATCGCTTAGCGGGTCAGACTACAGTTAGGATCCTCCGCACTCAGAACATACTAAGCAGTTTCGGATCAACTTGTCTTGCCTCGCTCGCTCATGGTCGTAGAAGAATATCCCGACAACCACTGACGATTTTTGAGGTTCTCTGACGCACCAATAACCCTGCGACGCATTCCGACAAATGAGGCAAAAATTGTGCTCCCGCCGCCGCGCCATTGGCAGGGTTCTTGCGTCTGAAGTGGAGAACAATATTGCTACCCTGAACTTACACAGGGCCATGCCTCTGCAGGCGTCGTCTGAGTCTGGAGGTTTGCTTGTTTGGCACAAACGGGACAGCATGCGAGACGTTGTTTGGATACTGGGCATGCTCAGTTCGGGCGCCTCAACGACCTCCGTCTTGAGCAGGCCCGGTAGATACGAATGGCTTCCGGATCAGGAACAAGGGATAGTGAATTCATTTACAATCGAGCTAGTATTTAGAAATTCAACTTTTACTACTTCAAACATTCAACCAAGATTGGCGCTAATCCCTTGCTTCTGCCAAGTGCATGAGAGTTTGATTTGTGAGATTAACCCTTCGCTCATGAAAGAAGTTCCCTTACAATTCTTCAGTAGTAGTACATGTAGTGTTGGCTGAGATTACATCCAGCTGAGCCGCATACCCCGCCGATATGGTCCAGAACATGGGCTGCTCAATCAAGATCCTTGATGCCTCTTGCAGAATCTGGGCGGGACCCTCCTCAGAGCACAGATCATCGACACCTTCAAGAAAGAGCTGAGTATTACCGCCATATCGGATGAAATATTGTACAAACTCATCGTCTAGCGGGCGATCAAGCTGTAACATGCGTGGCATGCGACGCTTTGTCAAGGATACCTCGCGGCGTGTCGATGCAGGACGACGATTTTGTGACTGATTCATATTTATGCTGGAGTTGCCAGTCGCCGGTGACGATGTGTCAGATGAATCTGTGCAAGGAGATGGGCCGATAGTCGAAGGAGTCTCGCCCGAGGGAAATCGCTCCGTGTGTTGGCTGCAGGTCAAGCTGGAGCAAGTATGTTCACGTCGAGGACCAAAGTTTCCGAAAGCCCAGAGGGTCAACGCTGCCAGAAAGACTGCGAATGGTTCCACGATGGGGTGGGAGGAGAATCGCCTAACGTGCCAAAGGACAGCACCAGCGTGGATAACAGCTAGGCGGGCTTTATACATGTCCTCTCGAACCCAGGAGAGAATTGTAGTATGCCATGTAGTCCGATCTTCGGATGATGCGTATATCGAATGAGGCAGGCTGTCAATGGACGTACTAGCTGCGGTTGTCTGAGCGCACCGCAGGAGGGCCTCGACAGGTGCCAGTATGAGTAAGCGGGAAAGGTGCAGATGTAGGATTGATGGACTCTCAAACATGGACTGCTGTGATATGAAGCCAATAGCGTCCCAATGAAGAAGGTCCAGGCAGTCGCAGGTATAGTCCCTCCACTCAGCGTACTCAGGTATGGAGCCTAGGTATTGTTGCTGCTGCGCCTCTCTTCCGCCTAGTTTATGACTGTAGGTAATCTTGAGGTGTACTGCTTCACTGAAATACTGTACCATATCCCATTTCCGGCGAAGCAGCATATGTATCATGATGATGACTCCTAGTTGATTCTCAGGTTGAGGAGAGCTCTGGCTGCTCCAGAGCTTGCCGAATGAACTTCGCACACTTAGTCGGAGAGACTCCTCCGACAGAATTGCGTCCACTCCACTCTTCGTGATGGTAGGAGAAGCGAATGCTTTAGACCAGCTTTGAGCGGAGTCTGCTTCCCACAAACCTTCGGCGCTGGGCATTTTGAGCGTCAGTTTGCTAGACGGTATACTTGGAGGACGGTTCGCAGCTAATGCAAGCCAAGCATCGAGAAGCTTCAAACATCATATATGTCAGTCATTTCCGGCCAGACAAAGGGTGGTAATAGCAGGTATTCTCGCTATTCTTACCCATATGAAAAGTCCAGTTCGTCGTCTTGTTTCACGAAAGCGCCATGCCAGCCACACTTGCTCCACGCTCTGGCCTTCGACATAGAGCCCAATTTTGTCATCCTCTTCAAGGAGCTGTAGTTGAAGACTGGAATTGTATACGAGAGAGATGGCGCTATAGCCACATTTGACCAGCGGAGTGGTACGGCTTTGGCACATACCCACGGCAGCGAGTGTTCGAGCCTGTATGTAAGGAAGACAGTCTTGTACACGACCAAAATCTAACTATGAAACCGATTTCATGTCAGCTATGACGTGGATTCAGCAGACTACTAATGGAACTGTAGAAGACCTACCTCACGTAGCAGCAGGTCGTGTAAAGCGCTACAGAGTTGCTCGCCAAAGTCGGTCAAATTGGGGAGACTCAGATAACGGGATCCAATAGCTGCAACCCCAATGCACAGACTCCAACCCCAGACAGGAATGCTGAGAAGGGACCTGTCGACGAATGGGTGCAAGTGATGGAAATGTTCAAAGTACTGCTCAATAAGGTGTTCAAACGTATCTCGGCCAAGAAGAACATCCAAATCTGCATTAAACCTTTCGGGCAGCAAAGGCCTTCCGGCACCTGATAGCAGCTTCGTTTGTATTTCCTGGTATACGGACTCTGGAATAGTGAAGCGAGACTTTTGTTGCTGAGTTTTTGTTTGTTTGATTTCCTCCAGAAGCACCGCCAACCAAGAAGCACCAGGATGAGAGTCGTGGTCGGGTACTCCCCGTCGCAGAACGGTAGCATGTCTTTCTTGAAAGCCACGGTCGGCCTGCGACTGGCGAAAACCACGGCCATTTACGTAGAGCTGTCTGTGGCTGGTCGTATCATAGCTTCTATCAAGAGACGAAGTATCTGTGGCTGTTGATCCATCGCGCATGTATGTGATGAACGCTGACATCTGATCTTGATGATTCAGGGAGGATTCATCCAGATCTGAGACCAAGTTCGAACCTCTCGGGCTGGAGGTACTATTTCCCGCAATGGATCGAATGTCTGTTTGTGAGGTAACCGTAATCCGAGATCGTGCAATGGAATCATTGGTCGTAGCGACATCTTGGGGCACGACTGGCTGATGAACATGAGCGTGGCCTACGTTGACAGCCGGCTCCTCCCATGGCGCCATGTCGCAGTCCTGGAGGCTTATATCCATCTCTATTCCAGCATCATTCTCGGTCTCGTGACTTCCTTCAATGTCCTGGATGTAAGAACTCGCGTCTCTGTCCAGGTTCGAGCCTGTGCTCTGCTTTTCATTCCAAGTACCATGATCAGGGGATTGCCTTGACCTGGTTGGATAAGATTGGGAACTGCGCGAGCAACCAGTTCTTTGAGAGTGATATCGCTCGCCGCGTTGAAACGCCGGCAATCCATCATCTAGTCGAGGGTGATATCCTTGCTGACTATGGCTAAGAGTCCCCATTGATAATGTTGTCTCATCCTCGTAGCTAGTATATCTACGTTGAGGGGGGTTATATTGACACTGGAGACTCTTTTCCTCGCAGCGACTGCATGGCAAATCGCCAGAGCACCTGATATGTGAGATGGCGCAGAATGAGCATGTTTTGAGGAGGCGAGATGAGGCCGTGGAGCCTCTCAAGCCCGGTTGCTTTGGGCCGACGTGAAGCTGCTCGTGACGTCGCGCTGCGTCTCTATGAAAGAATTGTTAGGGATACGACCAACTTGTACAAGGGACATAAGAACATAGGTCGGACGCTTCTCAGTCGTCAACTGCACCTGGCGTGGAATTGGACAAAACGATTTCAGGTGATAGGGTCCGGGAAGATGGATAGCTGTCTGGAAAAAACGAGACAACGTTACCTGCGCGCGAACTTTCTCCCACAGTAGTTGCATTCGATGGGCTTTTCAGTGATGTGAGTCTGCTTATGACGCTTCAGATGATCCCTTCGCATGAAGCTCCTATCACATATGCTGCACACGTGCAATGATTGTTCTGTCGCCGCAGGTGTCTCGGCTGATTGGGAGGCCATGGGCAAGGATGACATGACGCTTTAGAAGACAGATTGCTCGTCAGATCTTTGATATACAACGTGGATGAGTATGACTATGAAACGTGAACTTCAGACAGGTGCCTGTCCGCTTGATTGTGTCTAGGGAAGCTTTGGGCGGCTACGGAATCCAACATTCCCTCATCTTTATGTGCTCGGTTGCATGAGCCGATTGCCGCACCAATCCGCACGCGGCCACTTTGTCATCAACCCCGCGAATTATCTGAACTAAAGAATCAATTTCAATGTTCGAAATCCGCGACTTGATTAATACTTCCTTCTTCTCGTTTCGCCTGTCAAGTGGCTACAGTCGCAGCCCCTGCACAGAATGTTAACGTTGGTCTACTATCCCAACCAATAAGTCCCTACGGATGAAGGGCATTTACATCATGACCTAGCTACCAGCCGGGGCTTTAACAATACTTACACCCCAATGTTTCCAAACGTCTCCCTTATTTCCTGAAACTATTTGGCGTCTCCCCTCTCAATGGCCTCTCGTCGCATGACCAAGTAAACCGCCGAGGTCCACGTGTATGACAGGTCCCGCAACCCCTCCCCCGTGATAGCATCAAAGTTCTCTGCAAATCCTGACTTCTCGCACAACCGCAAAAAGCGCGTGCTGATCTCATCGGCCAGATCAATTCGTCCAGCATCACGCAGGCCAGTTTCGACCAGATGAGTCGAGGGAGCCCAGATGGGGCCTCGCCAGTATCCGTCGCTCTCGTAGTCCGGCGAGGCGAGCTCCTCGGTCGCGAGACCCCATTCGCTCAGGTGCTTGGACACAATGCTTGTGACCATCTTGTCAACGACTTCATCTGGTAGATGTCGCGCGGCAGCGAGAGGCATAAACTGTAGAAGGGAGGTGGTTTTGAAGGTCTCGCCTGTTATAGCATTCTTGAGGAGGAAAGACTCGCCATCCCATAATTCTTCGATGAGAGCATTGACCAAGAAACTTCTCATATTTGCCCACTTCTCGGAATCATTCTCGTGTCGTAAGCGTTTGACGACCTGTTCTAGGCAGCTGGCCTGGAGAAGAAGGTAAGCCGCCAGGTCCGGCCCGACGATCATTGGCGTGCTGTCGAAAGCTGTGGAGTTGTCCCAACCAGAGTCGTTACCATGAGCCCAGAACGGAAGACGCGAGGTGTCGCCTCTACGTGTGTCCATCCAGAAGTCCGTCAGTCTGGCGGTGGCATCGTAGAGTGGCTGCACTTTGTCGTCACTCATGCCCGGAAATTGGGCAAGGAGCCTGGAAAGAGCCCAGCCCTGGATAGGAGGCTTTGTAAACCCCCACTCGACGTTCTGCCAGTCAACTGAGTCGGGGAGACGACCGTCCGGCGCTTGGTGGTCGAAGACGACGGTGAGCTGGTCAAGGCCCAGCTGCTGATCGAGAGCAGCTATAGCCAGCGCATTGAAGCAGTGATCCCAGCTCCAGACTTTATTCATCCAGAGCTTGGACATCAAGACAGCTTCTTTTGTAAACTTGTGCTCTGCGCGGACCATGGAGGTCCAGGTCACATAGCTAGCAAGTACTTCGGCCTCTGTTGGCTTGCCCTCTGCCCAAGGGCACATGGCGACAACGAAGTCATCGAATTCCTTGGCCATCTTTTCTCCCATCCTCTCAAATGTGGTATTTTTGGCTTCCTCAAGTGCCAATTTGCACGAATTCTCTTTCCACGTCATTTGCGGCAGATTTTCACGCACATCGAGCTCGTGAATGATGAGCTCCCACTGCGGATCGTCATCCGTGCCCTGAATCTGGATACGGCGGTTGACTCGGAAGGCGTTGGTCTGGCCATTGACAGTTGTCAAGTTTCCCTTGGTGGGAAGAAAGCGGTAGCCAGGGAAGGTCTTGTACGTGACCTCAACGCCAGCTTTGAGCCCATCGTATGGTGGACGCTCGAAGACGTACATCCCCATATAGACACTAGGGTCTGATCGAGCGTCGCTATCAAAGGCTAGAGGTACATTTCCTCTGAGTCGAATGGAGCGCAGGTCCTGAAATCTTGCCTCACAGACGATCTTACTCTCATAGCTCCATTGGATAGACGATATTGTGGCTTGGATGGTGGTCGGCGACGGCGAGTCGTGGAAGCCGGGAGGTTCATTTAGGCCAAGACCCGCGGGCAGAGGCCGGAGAGCAAACATGGGTACTGACAAAGCGACGCATTGAGATACAAGGTAGAGGTCGGTCTGTGGCACGAGATTCAGAGGAGGCGCAAGTCGAGTGGTGCGGCTGAGGCTTAGAAACGACCCTCTACGGCTCCAAGGCAGCATCTTTAGATCTGGCTGGAACGCAGTTGAGGGGGTTGCGGCATCCATTGTAGCAGAATTCCGGCAGTAACTTGAAGAGGATTGATAAGTATCAGTCGCTCTCTGAGAGGAAGAAGGGGTTCGTCATGGATAGGTGGGATACTTAAACATCTCATACCGGAGGCATAGTGGTGTGACAGTATAAGTCAAGGAAGTCGGGAATGATAGCCAGGACCTTTCCGCTAGCTTGCGAGCTTCTTCAACCGTCCATCATCTGCAGCTCTACTCCCTCCGTAAGGAGTACAGTTTTTAGAATGGATCCTGGCTCGGTATTCTGAATGAGGAAATCAGTAGCGTAGACGCGGTAGATTCACGTTGCAGCAACACGTCCACCTCCACCTCCATTACCCACCCCCACCCCACAGTCCGATTCCGATGCAAGGGCAGGAATCTGACTACACCCTGCCGAAACCTTCCTGGCTTTGAAAAGTTCACTGCCATGTTACAATGAAGAAAGGGACTGAAAGCTCACAGATGTTCTAGGCGGGTTGGAATTGGTCGAATCAAGTATAGTACTCACCTCTGACACTTATCTGGGCGCTCCTGATCACCAGCTGTCTGGTCTCTCTCATACGATACTGTGGTGATGTGTCAACTGATAAACCTTCCAGTCTATGAGATTGACCCAGCTACTGTCTCAAACAAAGCGGTTTTCTACTATTGCGTCTCTTGTCCTCATACCCTCCCGTCTGGTCGCCAAACTGGAAAGATAAAAGCCTACCAATCTTGAGCTTATCAATCTGTCATGGCAGTACCGTTCAGTAGCTCGTCCTAAGACGAGTCCCAATTTCCTGACCTCATGTTGTCTTGAATATGTCTCTGATCGCGACCGGCGCGTTCGCTCTCATAATCATAAGAGACCGTGATGTCCTGTCTCCTCGTGATCCCTACAACTCTAGAGCTCGGTCCAGTCTCCGCCCCGACAATACTATCTTGACTACTCGTGTCTTCCATGTCAATTCGCGAAGCTATAGTTGTTGATGTTTTGCCGACGACATTTCCGTTCCTTGGAAATGATTGAGACCCGTTCATCTCAATTCCACCCGACCGCAATCCCATTGGGTCACCTTGCTTTTGATATTTTCGATCTGTCGAACTTAGGACGCGTCGCCCAAGAGCCAATTCTACGAGAGGCCCGAGAATTGGGATACAGGTAGCGATGATAAGAGTATTGCCCTCTACACTACCAAGATTGTTAGCTGGACATATCTAATTAAACAATCCAAATCTTTTCGTTACTGACATGGTCCACACAACAAGCTCCGCACTGTCATCTAGTCGGTTGTTAGTCAGCACGAGGATGCTTGTGAAGTGTCTCTTACACGTGAAGTCTTTGCTGGCGAGAGATGGTAGTCTTGTGCTTTTGTAAATGGAGATGAAGCAAGAGCTGAGGGTTCCGTCAGACATGCCATAATGAAAAACAGACGCATTGAACTTTGCCGTCATACATCGATCCAATCCCAAGAGCAGCACTTTCTTCTTGATATTCATCTGAAGTCGCATCAAAACCGTCGCTGGATAGACTGCAAGGTATAAGTCAAGCGCGGCGGAGTATGCTTAGTCGGGTTGCAGTCAGCGAAAGCCACGTCGAAAGCACCGTGAACTGGACCGAACACTAACCTCCTGTCAAAATCGCGACGTTTACGAGAACCCACGGACTCCAACAGCTCTTTTCAGTCACTTTGAAGTCCCATTGAGCGCGAGTAGGGGTGCACTGAGCAAAGAGAATGATGGTGCAGAGGGACACCAGCACCAGACACCCCGTCGCCATGCCCCAGAGCATTACTTGGTGTATCCTTCCTGGATTCAATATCCTCACGAGGAGTGCCACGACGGCGAACTTCGGTACAGTGTATGCGAGGACGTTTGGAGGAAATCCTGATATTGTGGACAGGATTGCCGCGGATTGCTGTTCTTGAGAGAGGGTGTCCGCATGCCGACCATTACCGCATCGAATGGCCCAAATTTCTAGAGCTATCGTCGTGTAGCTGAGGAGCTAGCCAAATTGCGATGTGTCAGCTCAACATTTGGCCATCTTATGAGTCAGGCATTGCTTCTTGGAAGGGATTTATTGAACGAACCAGAGAAAGAACAGTAAGGTGGTCATCTAAATGGGTTTGTCCAAGAATCTTGATGCGAATAAACAGCCGCATGGCGACGAAGATAGTGCTGATGCCGACAATGATACATATCGCAAAAATGATTCCAGGTCCTTTATTTTCTGTTGAGTAGGACGTTGTAGTCGAATCCGGACTTGTCATCTTGAAGAACTGAGCTGGGTTTCCGGCCAAAAGATACTAGTAAACTGGAAACTTCCCAGTGCCCCCAAACATGGGATTCGGACTCACTCCATCGGAAGTAAGATTCTGGTCTGGACGCGAGACACAAAAGACAATGCTCCAACGTCTCCGCTAAAGGTTTCCTGCGGTGATATGGGCCAAGAAACAATCGGATCAGGCTCGCAGAGTGAGGTGCCGCGGTTGGGAAAATGTTGATTAAGGGGGATCCGGTGGCGACGTCCACTGCCTCATGCAGATGCAAGTATTCTCACCTGAGCCGGTCCGTACATCCTTGGTCCAAAATTCAAGAGAAGAAGGTCGCTTGACAACATAAGTACTAATGATCCCAACAACGTTCCAAGGGTTAGGTCAAGTACACCCGAGGCTTTTACCCATTTGCAAGTTCGAGACTACAGTAATCGTAACCAGTTTGCCGTCCATTTGGTGTGGGTACTACCGTTTTCGATATTGATTGCCTTTTTCAATCAGGAGAACCTGCTTGAAAGAAAGGTATCGTATTGGTTGGACATTAACCAACGAGGTATTGTGGGCTGTTAGTTGCGCAACGTCGGCCCGGACTTGGTGCAGAGCATCTAGCAGCTCCGCCGAATGTTCAGGGGTCCCTCGCTCCTCTCCACCCGGCATGGATTCCGTTGCCAATCAGGCGATCGTGTCGAAAGACTCCAGAACCAACAGCAAACAACAACATCTGCTGCTTGGTGTCTCTGACTGGGGTCCTCATAGATAACTTACGCAGCATTTTGAGTGATCTCATCTTTCCATGCGCTGACCCAAAATCTAAGTCGAAAGAATCCGCGTTGAATCTTTGCCCGCTCCTCCCGGGCAGTTTCATTGGCTCGAACGCTTCCACGAATTAGGTTCATTCGACAACAAAACGTAAATCGCGTGAATTCTAGGGATTGGATCTCGGTCGGTGTTGGAACAGGGTTAAGAGCACGACCATCCAACAAACATACGTACGCCGATGGGTCCTCAGTTCCTGGTGCTGGGGACGGAGTATCAACCATTCATGGACACACGGTCTGCAAACTCACTGTGCCTATCTCAGACATCTGCTGAAAGTACCTACTATGTATACTTTATCCATGAAATATTGATAGTAAGAGGAAGGTTCCGGACACTCACATGCATACCATGTCGCGAACCCATGTTGAATTGACTCTTCGCCCCCGCCGTGTCGTGCGGGACTTCCTCAACTCATATGTTCGGCCTTGTAATTCTATATGGTTCCAGACCAACGTCGTTCTCTCATGCGGCTTTGTCACAACTAGAAGGTGCCTCTTCATTTTGCTGTGCTGGATAATTTGTACTCCATATATCTACATGGCCAACAAGTGTGTACAGCGAAACTTAACCTTGCCCCTTTAGCCCTCCATCCTCCTTCGATTCCTCGATTCTTTCCATCTCTCGGCTTATACCTAAACCCAACTCTCTATTGCATCATCAATCTAACATCTGAACTCATTACCCTGCATTTTGGTCATCATGGGCTCTATCCCAAGCGATATACCTCGCGAGGTTGGCATATCTGTTGCCTTGGCCGCGTGCGACCTTCCAAGCGTGAATTAACATGTGAAGAACATTGCCAATCTTACCAGCGCAGTTGCTGAAGGTGATAACACTGCACGCCTGAGCATGCTGCAGAGCGCTCGTTTGTTGGTGCATGCATTGGAGACACCGCGCGAGACCATTATCAAGCACTGCTGGGCGCAAGTAAGATGGCCTTCTTTTTGAACATCAACGCACTAGCTAAACATCGCCCATTAGCCAGCCGCTTTCACGGCCCTTACATACGCAGTTGACTCGGGTCTCTTTGCTCTGTTATCACAGAGCAAAAAGTCTCAAAACGTGTCTGATCTAGCTCTGAAATTAGGACACGATCCTGCTCTTTTGGGTGTGTCATCTCCCACAGGACGTTACTCCCTCACCGAGTCTATATTGACTCCCTTTCTCGTAATCCAGGACGAATAATGCGACATCTCGGCGCGACGCTTTACATCACTGAGACTGGACCGGACGAATACAAGTCAACAAACTTCTCAGATGCGCTCACTATCACCAGCATGGGCGCTGGCTACCCGTGTGTGTAAGTGATCTATACCTCTCGATTATCCAATCCGTTTGAATAAAGACTAGATTCTTTTACCCGTGCCTTTCTGCGAATCTACAATGTAAGCTGACCCTTGTCATCGTCAGCGCCGGAGCCTGCATGGAGTCCCTAGCCAAATTTCACGAGTTTGCTAAGAAGACCAAATACCGCGAGCCCAACGATGTCTTCAACGGACCCCTACAATACGGATACAAGACCAAACTCGACTGCTTCAGCTGGCTCGCAGCAAACCATCCTTACGAGATGCAATTCGCACAGCACATGGGCGCATACCGGCAAGGCCGACCAAGCTGGATGGATGAAGGCATTTACCCCGTGAAACACCGGTTGGTCGACGGCTTTGACGACTCTCAAGACAACGTGCTCCTTGTTGACGTCGGAGGAAGCTTTGGCCATGACATTGATGAGTTCCGCAGAAAGCATCCCGAGGCCCCTGGTAGGCTTGTGGTCCAGGATCTTCCAACCATTATCAATCAGATCGAGAAACTGGACGCAAAGATTGAGAGGATGGGACATGACTTCTTCACTGAGCAGCCTATCAAAGGTGAGACCGCCCACTTCATCTATTGTACAAGATATCCAAGACTAATGCGCCCCGCACTCAGGTGCCCGAGCCTATTATATGCATTCGGTCCTTCATGACTGGCCGGACAAGAAGTGCGAAGAGATTCTTGCGCGAACTACAGCTGCGATGAAGCCTGGATATAGCAGGTTGTTGGTCAATGAGAACTGCATCCCCGACACCGGTGCCGACTGGCAGAACACTGGCCAGGATATCATGATGTTGACGCTAGTCAGTAGCAAGGAGCGTACTCGGGTGGAGTGGCAGAGTCTCCTAGAGAAGGCTGGTTTGAGAATCTTAGGTATCTATGGTGGCGGCAATGGCGTCGAAAGTTTGATAGAATGTGAGTTAGCGTAGCACGATTAAAGAGCGTTATCGTATCAATCGATGCTCCACGTTAGTTCTCTCATACCGATAGTTAGGTCGTTCACTTATCGGGTCCTTGTAGATGCCTGGACAATGTGATGAAGACTCGAGGTAGTGTCATTGCTCATATGTGTATCTATCTGTTGTTCATTCTATCCTACTGCTTTGCATATTTATCACAAAATTGAATCATTGGCCTTCATACATGTGTTACTTATTTCTCGGGCACCACCAGGATGTCATCGACATTAACAGCTTGTCCGGTTGCCAGTGACCGATTGGCAGCAATACCAGTCAAGATTGATGCGGCACCATCAATATGACTAGCCGCTCGCATGTACTCGTCAGACACCGGCTCACCAAACAGATCCGCAAGCAGAACGAGATCTCCACCTCCATGAGCACCCTTCGCCTCGCCCAGATCGATCTCCTGGGGAGGACCGAACAGCGGCCGAAGCAGCATCGTCCGTTTCTCAATCGCGCCCTCCAAAGCTTGGCTACCTCCAGAGTTCACGTAGCTCTTCTCCACGACCTCGACCTCAAGGCGACCACCCGTGCCGTTGAAGTTGACGCGGAAGCCCTCCCACGGCGCGTATGCCGTGAGGGAGTATGTCATCACCGCGCCGTTGCGGTATCGGATGAGCAGGTTCATTGTGTCCTCGATGCTGATACCATCGCCAAACACGCTCTGGTCTCTGTAGTAGCTATCCTCATGCTCTGCGTCGAGGTACATCGCCTTGAGCTGCGGGTTCTGGTCCAGTTGCAGTGCAAATGGGTCGTCCTTCGCCGCTTCGCTCCCGTGCGCCCTGGTATAAAACTTCGTCACGCCCCTCGCCTCGGCGTTTTCTCGTCCGTAGAACTTGAGGTCGCCCTGGGCGTATACCGTCTGTGGTCTCGTTTGAAGCCAAAAATTGACCAAGTCAAAGTGGTGCGTCGACTTGTGCACGAGGAGACCGCCCGAGTTGCGCTTGTCGCGGTGCCAGCGGCGGAAATAGTCGGCGCCGTGGTTCTCGTTGAGCATCCACTCAAAGTGCACGCTCGTCACCTTGCCAATGGCGCCTGACTTGATAATCTCAAAGATCTTTGTGTTGTGCGGCGCGTAACGGTAGTTGAACGTTACGCGCACCTTTTGGCCTGTCCGCTCGACGGCCGAGAAGATCTCCCTGCACCGCGGCGCGTCGATGGTCATCGGCTTCTCGGTGACGACGTTGCAGCCTAGCTCCATTGCTCTGACGATGTAGATGTTGTGTGTACGGTCCATGGTTGTGACAATGACCTCGTCCGGCTTGGTGTCTTTGATCATCTGGTCAAAGTTGGCTGCGATGTAGGTCGGGACCTCGCCGTGGCCGAGTTCTTTCAATTTTGAGTTGGCATAGTTCATGCGCGTCTGGTTCGTGTCGCAGAGACCGACGATGACTGAAGTGCTGCTGTAGTCCTTTGCAATGGCTGTGTAGAAGAAGCCCGATCGGCCGCCGGTGCCTACGATGGCATAGCGCTTCTTTTGCGTTGACTCGCCCATTGTAGAGGTCGGTTGTGTGCTTAGGTCGTGTCGATGGCTTGAAAGAGGCCGGGTATGGGAACGTCCAGTGCAAGGAAGCGATAGATTCAAGTACACTGCGGTGTCCTTTGTTAAACGATGAATCGTAATGGGCACGGCGAGTTTATTGAGAGACAGACGCCCGCGTTATTGGAGTCGTCAATCGTCATGACTTCGGCAGATGGCACTCAAAATCCGCGAGATCTCATGCAATCGACGGCCCCCGTCAGGAATCCTACTCGGGATCAGATACCCCAAACGCCCGAATTTAGCCAAAATGGCAACCCGTTTCTGGGCGCGGGGGTTTGAATGCCCGACTCATGGACCAGTCACTCGACACTCACGATCCCCACACTGCGGGGAGAAGATGTAGCGGAACGCGGGGGCTCTCCGCTTCAAATGTCGGAAATGTCGGGGATACTGGGGTAAGCCGAGGACTAGACATCTGGAGGGAGTAGCGTGCGGAGAGAGTTTGGGGAAGAAGTGGGAATAAGTGCAACGTCAGCCCAGATGAACCCCCTTGTTGTGTTCTCTCAATTTGGCTATTCCAGCCACCCGCTTGTAAACGGTAGATCGTTACCCCAGACTCTATGGCACTAAGCCTGGATTTACCTGGCATGGTTGCGCACGACTCGTAAGGTCAACGACGGTCCTCAGGCGTTGAGCTGGGACTTGATTCGACAGAGACCCCTGATGTCTCGGCTTCGCAAATAGCCTGGAGTTTTCCCTCCAATGGGAAGCATTATTCAAAATTGGACTGGGGGCGTTTCCGAGGGATCTCTTGGGTTCTGTCAAGCACCCGGCAAGCAATCTTGGCAACGTGCCATCCGACTTGGAGGGCAGACTTAATCTCCGGATATTAGCAAAGAAGACCAACAGAGACCATGCGATGGGCATACGCAACACGGGAGTCAGGTGTTGCCAAGGTAGATCGATGTTGAGCCTCCACGCTCGGCTTTGCCGTTCGTCTCCGGCGGAGAGGAAACCGGTTATTGGGGGCGGACAAGGGGCCATGTTGCATGAGGGTATATGACGGATAAGATGAACGAGCCCGAACCACGTCGCTGGGTTTCCGCTACTCTCCTTCTTTCCATCAGGGTGCTACAGTGTCATTTTTCAGAGGTGTTCTCGACATCTGTGTCACTCCTACGGTACTAGCACGTCGTTCTCGAACTTCAACGGCACCTATCAGGGTCATCTTTGTGCGCTATCAACGATCCATCATGGCTTCTCCAACTCCGGCCGAGGAGCGAGCTGGCGGTCCTACCGTCGACGCGATCGAGCCCGTCCCCGAACCATCAGCACCGGCGAACACGGTCCAAGAAAAGGCGGCAAAGTTCCTCGCAGAGCACGGAGGCGGTGACACGACTTTTACATACGAGGAAGAGCAAGCCGTTCTCAAGAGGATCAACTTTCGCATTCTTCCCTTGATTCTCGGAGCGTATTTTTTTCAGCAGATGGACAAGAGTTCCCTCAGGTGAGTGAATCCCGCATCTAGGACGTCAGACATAATTGGGTCGCTGATGGATCGACCCCGACAGTTATGTTTCCATCTTCGGCATCAAGGAAGACGCACACCTCGTCGGCAAGCAGTACTCCTGGCTCGGTTCCATCCTGTACATCGCCCAACTCGTCATGCAACCCGTCGCTGCCTGGATCCTCGTTAAACTCCCCAACGGAAAAGTCATCGCTGCTGCCATCTTCCTCTGGGGCTCTTCGCTTGCCATCATGTCCTCGTGCACCGACTTCAAATCCCTGCTCGGCCTAAGATTCATGCTCGGCTCTTTCGAAGCCATGATTGCGCCGTCGTGCTTGGCTGTTACGACTACCTGGTGGAGAAGAAGCGAGCAGACACTTGTCACTAGTTCCTGGAACGCCATGAACGGTGTAACGTTCATCGTCGGAAGTCTCTTCACCTATGGTCTGGGCCACATTAACAGCGATAAGCTCTACAAGTACCAGATCATCTTTTTGTAAGTCATGGACCAACGGTGTTGAGGCGGACAATATTGAGGCTGGAAATGCATTGCTAATGCTGTGCGTACGATAGGTTCTGCGGCTTGCTCACCGTCACATACTCCGTAGTTGTTCTCATTTTCATGCCCGACTCGCCCATGTCAGCCAAGTACCTGACCGAGAGAGAAAAGGTCATCGCCGTTGAGAGACTTCGTGCGAACCAGATGGGTATTCAGTCTGGAGTCTGGCGCTGGGACCACGTCTGGGAGACGTTCTTGGACTTGAAGACGTGGTGCTGGTTCATTCTTATCATTGCTATCTCGTACGTCCCTCGAACCATAGTCTACATATGGGCTGTAATACTAACAACTTTTGTACAGCATCGCTAGTGGTGGCATCTCGACCTTTGGTAACTTGATCGTCCAGTCGTTTGGATACAGCAGTTTCACTACCATCCTGTTCAATATTCCTTTTGGAGCCATCCAGATTATCGCCATTATGGGAAGTGGCTGGATCGCCACTCGGATCCAAAAGAAGGGCATTGTCATTGCAGGCGTGGCAATTATTCCCGCCATCGGTACCGTCCTGATGCTAACCGTACCGCGTGAGCACAAGGGTGTCTTGCTGTTCGGATACTACTTGGTAAGCAGTTGATGATATTCACAACAAGATGCACAATGTACTGACTTACGACCCTTAGGTTTCTGCATTGGCCGCCATTACTCCTCTCATTTTTACATGGCAGGCACAGAACACCGCCGGTGACACCAAGAAGAAGACCACGTCTGCTGTCGTCTTCATCGGTATGTGCACGGGCAACATCATTGGACCGCTGTTGTACTCCGTTGATGACGCCCCCGTGTACCGCCCTGGTCTGATTTCCAACCTCATCATGTTTGTCCTCGTTGCCGTCATGGGAGCGTAAGTAGCCATCTCTATCCTGTCTCCTCTCGCACAATATTGACTGACTGGTTGTTCAGCCTGATTCCTCTTTACCTCAAGTACCTCAACGTCCAGCACGCCAAGCGCCGTGAAGCACTCGGCAAGAGCACATTGATCGTGGACGAGTCGATGATGCGCAACAAGGATAAGCAGGAGGGTAAGGCGGTCGAGATCGAGGAGGACCCGCAACATCAACACCGTGCTATTGAGGAAGATCACGGTCTGCAGGATATGACGGATCTGAAGAACGAGGACTTCATCTTTGTGTACTAGAAGGTCGATGAAATACTGACGCGAGAAAAAAAAAATGCCTGTATAGCGATTTTGAGAGGCAAAACACCTACCATTCTGAAAACTGTCCAGTCGAATGCGTTGAAATTGTGTGAAAGGAATCATCGACTGCTCTGGCGCAAGCCACCTGGCTGTGGCTTGTTGCTTCTTATCGCCCGTGACTGCTTATCTTATCGCCGGATGGAAGATAAGACCGATCCTTCCAGATTGGTGTCTTCGGTGAGACTTTTGTGAATGTCAGCTGACCGGTGCACAGATGCTCCTCACCACCACGTCGCTTCCGCATTCGGCTAGTAGGCATGTGCGACGTTTCCCACCCTGTTTCTCTGTAGCCGACCCACTTCTCTCGGTGACGAAACGAGCACGGACGACAAATGTTCCAGTTCCTTGAGAATTAATCTTTTCGTTTATTCAAGTTGTTTTGGCTCGAAGGCCTCTGCTGATATCGGGAGAAAGGGAAACGCTACGGCTAGTGTGTCTTTTTGCCTCCACCACGAAACTCCATGCGTCGATCATCAAGACCGGACTGAAAATGCTACTGCAGCAGAAAGGGACAAAAGAAGAAGTTTATCGTCAAGAATCGTAAAAACATTACCTCCCCTTCGTCTCCACCAAAATCCATTCTGGGTGGCTGGCCTGTTCGACAAGCAAGCCCCGAGTCGCCAGCTTCTCGGTTCCCGATGCTATTATCGCCATTTCATTGATTCAGACCTCTACTTGGTCTGCTGCACGATGAATGACGACGCCTGAGCGACGTAGTCCTGCTTTGAGAAGTAGCCGAGATGGACGGTCAAGTTCTGGCCCGAGGCGCAGAAGAGATCCGTGTCATCACAGAATGATGCGAACTTGCTCGTCAAACTCTGGCATGGGCCAAGGTCCATACGAGGGAAGATCTGCGAGGCAATGGTTAGTCACGCGAGAGCGGAGACAAGATCGAGGTCTGAAGGACATACGCCATTCTTCTTTGAGGTTCCCTTGGCGAAGGGCTGGCCGGCGATGAAGGTTGGGTCACCGAACAAGACAACGGCAGCGACTATTGGAGCATATCAGCAACCGGATCACGACTATCACGCGGCATCGCAGATCTCTAAACTTACTCTTACTTCCGACCATGGGTGCCTGAGCAACAGTCGTGTTGAAGTTGGGGCCATCCGTGGTACCGCAGAGGGTATCCAGCGACACTTGTGCGCCCTGCAACATGTTAGACACAGAGCCATCACATCTGGTCTACGAGAAATACGCACCTGAGAGTATCCCATCAAGACAAGCTTCGACTGCGGGCACTGCTGCGCTTGCTGGTTCAGAAGAGTCGTCATGTTCATCACACCAGCCGACACGGAGGGCGGATACGGGTCAAGCTGTGCCGGGTACACCAACGGCGTGATAACGGAGCCGGGAATCTGCATCGACGCATTCATGGCAATGTTGCCCAACAGACCGGCACCCTGCGCCTCGAGACTGCCACGGGCGACGATGATGTTGACTGGTGCACAAGCAGCTGGTGGGCCTGGTGGAGGAGGCTGCTGTTGAGGCAAGGCTAGAACCATGGGAACAAGGGCGGCAAGCGCCGACATACTAATCTGAGGCTGCATATTTTCGACTGTGAGGTGTTCTTCTCTTTGGAGAAGGTGGACCAGCAGGGAATGTGAAAGATGTCCGTGTGTTTTATTGGAAGGATCAAAGTCGAGAAAGAAAATCTTGATGGAGTAAACAGGTTGGCTGGCCCGATCCGTCCAAGTTCGTGGGGTCATGACCGTCTTCTTGTACTGACCTCCATCCAGAGTCTGGGACGAGAGAGAACGACACGTCCCTCGGCATCTCGAGAGGAGTGGGCCACCACCACACCCTCCATGTGCTGAAATGGGGGTTTTGACATCCGCTGCCAGAGCCTCTTTTGGAATCTCTGATATCACAGACATGCAGAAGAACACAGGATGATCCCTGTCTGAGGTTTGGTGATTTGCCTGTTGGCAGGCGCCCTTCTCTTTCCGAGAACACCCTTGACGTGCTCACCCACGTCCGAGCCACTCACGAAGAACCCCTGGAGAACTTCAGCGCGACTTTGTCCCGAGTTGGTGTGGATTTGCAACCTTTCCCCGATCGGGGCATCGTGTGAGAAGAGACTGGGGGATTGTGGGATTTGGGCCTGGGGGGAGGGCTGGAGAGCGGCCAGTGCCATCTTGCCGCAGAGCCGGAAACACGCACGAGATGGGATGAAACTATTCCCAGAATACTGCGCCGGCTGGCATACTGACACACTCTCACACGCACGACTACTACCTTACTCACACAAATCACACTGACTTGCGTTCTCTCTTTCGCATACCGACACACGCAAACGCACAGCACACACACACATACACATACGACAAAAGTACACACGAACCTTTATTTACAAATATCTGAACATGTCATGTGGGAGCCGACAAATAGTTGTACACGAACACCACCAATTGGTTGGGCTTTGTATTTTTGCCTCTCGACTGCATATACTGGGCGTATGTACTGAAATGCAGCAGTCGATAGCAGCGACCGCGGCACAACAAAAAGTGTGATTGTCAACATGAACGCATGGAGGAAAGCAAGTCTTCATCTCCCGAATAACACCCTACGCATCGGGAGACGGCCACACCCTCCGCCCGTCAAACCAGGTGGCCTTGATCTCACCCTTGAGCAGGCCCTGTGGCGTCCAATCCATCTCCGCCACCACAAAGTCCGCGCGCTTGCCAACCTGCAAAGAACCCGTCCGATCCTCCGCAAACACGCTCTTTGCAGTTCCGAATGCGCCCGCCGTGATGGCCTCGCACACACCCAGCTTGAAGTGCTCGTTGACGACCACGTCGTACCCCGGCTCCCTGGCGGACCGCCGCGTCGTCGCGACGTAGGCGTTCTGCAGCGGCGCCCAGGGGGCCGTGGGGCTATCGCTGCCGAGTGCGAGCAGCGCGCCGTGGTCTGCGAACTCGCGGTAGGCAAAGGCGCGCTCGCAGCGGTGGGCGCCAATGAGGCGCGGCCAGGCGCGGAGGATGGCCGGGTCGGCGTGGACGGGCTGGATGGAGGCCGTGAGGCCTAGCTCGCCCAGGTGCTTTGCGTCCTCGGGGGATGCCATCTCAATGTGCTCGAGGCGGTGGCGGCGGCCAGGCGTGGCGTGGTTGGCGAGGGCGTTGACTGCGTTCTTGATGGCTGCGTCGCCTATCGCGTGCAGGGCGATTTGCAATCCGGCGGCGTCTGCCCTCGCGACCACGGGGCCGAGCCACTCGGCGCTCCAGAAGGGCGGGGGGGAACCCACCTCGGCATAGGGCTCTGACAGGTGGGCAGTGCAGGCGTCGATGATGCCGTCGGTGATGATTTTGATGCCTACGATGCGCAGGTCGGGGGAGGTGGCCTTGTTCAGCTCGTTGTGGAGTTCGATGGCCCGATCGACCTGCTTGAAGCGCTCCTCTTCGGATTCGGATGGTTTGATGAGCCAGTAGGCGTGGGTGCGCATGGGCAGGTTGGGTTCTTCGGCGCGGAGCGAGCACGCTGCGTCCCATGCCGGCTCGTCCATGGCCATCTCAATCAGCCCAGTGTAGCCTGATGCGTTGTAAGTCTGCACGGCACCCTTCATGGCGTCCATCCGATCTCTCTTGGGGGCTACCTGGGCGAGATGAGGCCACACGATGGTGAGCACAGCGGCCTCGCTGAGGAGACCCGTCGCTTTGCCCTCGGCGTCGCGGTGGATCTTGCCTCCTGACGGGTCCGGCATGTTCTCGATACCGAGCTCCTTGATGGCGGCTGTGTTGCACCAGGTCGAGTGGAGGTCTTTTGTGTCGATGAAGATTGGTCGGGGGTCAATGTCGTCGAGCATGGTCTTGTCGACGCCGTCGGGGGTCATGGAGTGCATCCACAGCTTGCACATGATGCGGGGGACGTCCGGGTTGGCGACGGCGTACGCCTTGATGGCGGCGCGGATTTCTTCCAGTGATGTGCAGTTCTCGAGGCTCACTTTGCGCAGCGACTGGCCGAGGAGCAGAAGATGCACGTGGCCGTCGATGAAGCCCGGCAGGACTGTCCTGCCTTCCAAGTCATGTGTAGTGACCTCTCCCGATGTGTGTCTTGCCTTGAGGTCCTCTGTTGTGCCAATGTTCTCAATAATGCCATTGGCGACGAACATGCTCTCGGCAAAGGTGGGTTGTGTCTCAAGGCCGGCTTCGGCGTTGTGCAGAAAAATGCGCCCATTGACGAAGAGCTCCCCTGCGCCCGCTACTTGATTCTCAACTGGCGCCATGATTGTGATGATTCTATCCTTGCGTTTGCGCCCAGTTTCGTATGCTCAAGATGTTTTGCGACAGAGGAAATCCGTTTGCGCCTGCGTGTGTCGTGATGCAATGTGTCGTTATTGACTCGGGTGGTGTGAGGGAGGGATATGGTCGGCTTTGCTGGTGAGGGGCAGCCCGCCTCGGCCTGCGTCGCTGCGGGTTGCGGACCGCGGGGTTCGCATGGTGGGGTTGCGCTGGGAAGGATCTGATAAGATCAGATATGAGTTCTTTTCCATGTCGCGCCCCTCGTCACTTATCTTTGCTACCTTATCTCGGTGGATTCGGTCAAAGTGGGGTGACGGATTTGTTTCACCGAGGTGAACGCGTTGTTGCCATCCTCATCCAGCAATGCGTAATAGTTAGGAAGGACCTGGGAAGGGAAAGAACCACCGGTAGTAAAATCAAACCGCACAGTGAGCCAATCAAGAGCCAGTCGCGGCAACCTTCCTCATGGTCCATATTCGAATTGAGGCTATTCCCACTTAAGCCCTGGATATCTTGGACAATCGACCTAACACTTGAGCTTCATCTTCTACCGGAAGACGACCTCGCATCTTTTGACATTATCTTTCAGATCCCTCTTGGTCTTTCTTCGAACGTCGGTCGAACCTTCCATGCCTCTCAAAAAACACTTGAGAATCCTTGTCTCTTCGGGGTGAGGTACTTGCCGCCCACACCTGCTTCTCATCGCTCCTTCGTTCTCATCCTGCCAGAATTTCGAAGGCAACTCCCTGCGACAACGGGTATTTAACGCCACTGATTCTCTCATTCTCACTTCCCCCGGACAACTTCAACCCACCCACTTCGTCAACTCAAGTACCTTTCGCTAAATCCTTCCAAGTTCAACATTCTCTTCTTCTTCACTCTTCATTCAATCATACTACCTTCCAATTTCTTCATCATCGTCAACATCTGGCATCGCACCTTGGTGTCTTAGGCGCGCCAATTCTATATCAACTTTCTGATTTGGCACCTACCTTTATTTGGACAAGCAACTTTCTTTTTCTTCTTTGCGATTCTTCAGAATTGCGAGGCGTTACGTCCAGCTCAATTTAGCTGAGAGACCTTCTTCACAGTCGCGCAATGGATCCCAGTCAGGCAGTCGTTGGAGTGAAGGAAGAGCAGCATGATGACATCAAACCAGATGCCCCCTTCAAGGAAGAAATCAAAGTGAAAGAAGAGAGGCAAGAGGATATCAAGGCAGATGCCTCTCTCGATACAGTGTCAAAGCCTTTGGAACAGCGAGCTCTACTGACGTTCTCATACATAGAAAAGATGAGAAGAGTCAAAGATCCGGATCTCTGGCAGCTGTTTTACGAAAAGGTTCTGCCGCTTTTGGACGACCTCCAGCCAGCTTGCGAGACCATTTCTTCCTCTCGCAAGCTTCAGCCTGCTCTAAAGAAGGCAGCAGCTCACTGGATTGACCAACTTTCTGATCTTCGTGATCAGGCGACTCGGTCCCATCAAACTGTCATTGGTGTCCTGGGCAATACGGGAGATGGCAAAAGCTCAACTATCAATGCTCTACTAGACGAAGAAAGGTATGACCGAACACTCATCTCGCAGGATGGAACTCAGCTGATTGTTATTAGCTTACTTCCCACGAACTGTATGCGCGCGTGCACCGCTGTCGCCACCGAGGTTTCTTACAACCATGATGAAGACGAAGAGAACCCATACCGCGCGGAAGTCGAGTTCATCTCTAGAGAGGAATGGGCCAAGGAAGTCAACATACTGCTCATGGAGTTCCTCGCTGAAGAGACTGACGAGAGAAATGATTTGGACCCGGAAAGCGACGCAGCGAAAGCTTTGGCAAAAGTTCAAGCGGTCTATCCGTCATTGAGCCTAGAAGACTTGGCAGTCAGCACCTCGGCTCAGCTAGCTACTCATCCCAGCGTGGATCACCTTCTGGGGACCACCATGACGGTGAAAAGCGACAATGCGCAGGATATCCGCGAGCAACTCGAGCCCTACGTCGATTCGAACGACAAGGATGATGAGACGGCGGCATACTGGCCTTTGGTGAAGGTTGTCAGAATCTTTACCAAAGCCAGAGTGCTCGCTAACGGTGTCACAATTGTAGACTTGGTATGTTATGCTTTTTGTGGAACTCTATTTGATGGAAGGTAGCTGACATCAGGTCTGGTAGCCCGGTCACCAGGATTGGGATGCAGCCAGAGCTGCAGTAGCAAGCGAGTACATCAAGTGCTGTTCAGGAGTCTGGGTAGTGGCTCCAATCAACAGAGCTGTTGATAACAAAACAGCCAAGGACATCATGAGCAACTCTATCAAGCGTCAGCTCAAGCTGGATGGAGCGTTCTCAGCTTTGACCATCATTTGCTCAAAGACTGACGACATGACGCTCAGCTCCGGAATAGAAAGCATGAAGTCGAAGTTGGACAAGGATACCAAGGCAGCATGGGGCCGGGTCCAAGCCCTGGGTCGCCGCACCACGGCTCTGGAAAAGGAGCTTATGGTTGTCCGAGGTCGTCGCAAGACATCCCGGGCCTCAACCAGCAGCCTCGACACGGGCCGCGCAGCGAAGAGAGCGCGAACCGAGCCGCCTAAGAAGCAAGTGGACAGAGACTCATTTGATAGTTCCTCCGAACTAGCCAATGAGGGTGTTGTTGACTCCGATCCGAATGCTGAGAAGCATGAAGAGCTTGCAGAGTTGAAAGAAGAAAAGCGAGAGCTGATGGATGAGGTCCATGCACGTCTGATTCGGAGACGCAACCAGCTTTGCCGAGATGCTGTTAGGAAGCACCTCGCTAAGGGATTCAAAGAGTAAGTGAGAAGTCACGCCAGAAAGCCATTGAAACTAATTGATAATCGATTTAGTCTTGATCGGCAAGATTCAGCCAACACGAACGGGCATGGGCAAGCTGATGAGGAGTTCCGAGACTACGATGAAATGTCCGCTTTGACTCCTATCTTTTGCACTAGCAGCCTCGTTTATCAAAAGATGCAAGGACTTGTGGCCGATAACGATGATGAGACTCCTGGCTTTGACACCGAGCAGGACACAGAAATTCCTCAGCTTCAAGCTCATGCTCAGAAGTTGACCGAAGAGCTTCGAATCGCGAAGTACCAAGAGATACTTAATAGCATCTGTCAAATCCTCAACTCCATCGCAATATGGGCGCAGGACACGGCAGAGACTACAGCTACGATTGACGGGGAGCGTCTAAAGTGGATGTTGGCACGCTTCAATGCAGTGAGTATTGCTTCCATCTTGGTTTAGTGGAACAAGGAATTAACACTCGGCAGGAATTGAATGGTGAGGTCGAGGATTGCCGCGACAAGTTGCACATGGCAGCAGAGACTGGTCTGTATGAGGAGATGAAGCGCCTGAGCTCTGCTGCCAGTCGCGCCGCAGTTCCTACGGCAATTGGCTGGGGCAACATGAACTTCTCTACGCTAAAGGCAACCTTTCGCCGCGGCGGCATATGGAAGAAAAATAATTTCAACGAAGACTTGTTGCGACCTATCACTGATAATATGACGGAGACCTGGCCAAACTTCTTTCAGTTCAGTATCCCAGGTGTGCTCGACAACTTCTCTGTCTCTGCGACTCACCGACTAGGCGCGTTTCACGAGGATGTCATGAAGCAACTTGGGATCCAAGACTACGATCACGATGAATCACCTGCAATCGTGCAGCTCAATAGGCAACTCGAGCTTCACAAGTCAAAGGTTGTGAGACTTGCCGCTCAAAGTCGAATGGGAGTCGATGAGGCTCAGAAAGACGCCAACAGAGCGTTGACTACGCCAATTGCTGAAGCAATGGCTCTTGGCTATGAGGAGTGTTCTCAGATGCATGGTGAGTGTGATTCCGTCGTGCTGGATATCTTCCGGAAGCCTCTGGGAGAAGTATTTGGGTACCCATACTAATCACGTTTGCAAACCCATATAGGAAAAGGATCAGTCAAGAAGGCCAAGGCCAAAATCGAGGAATATGTCCTCAACCGGAAGGTCAAGATGTTCCGCGACGCAATTGGAAACGTCAAAGACGTTCTTGGTGAGGGCTTGAAGATGGTGGGTGAAGACATGGCGGCCGATATCAAAAATATTGGAGTTACTATGGAAGGTGACTACATGCTTGCGCTGGCAGAGAAGCAAGAGTCGGCACGTCTTAGAGAGGAGGCGTCTAAGCGGGAGATGCTCAAGTTCTTGGAGCATGCCGCGGAGCAATTCAAATAGATTGGCATGCGGTACTTCCAACTGAGTCGGGGAGATGATTGGACCGCGAGGCGTCACTGGGAATCGTCACTGATACAATAGCATTAGACTTCATTTTATCTTAAGTCGCTTGATTCACTTCGATCCAGAAGCCGATGTCATTCAAAAGTGTTTGATGAATCGATCAATAGAAGCTTCTACTAAACTCAAATACCAAGAGCGAAGACGTTAGGATCGCCAATAGTCGAAGAGTAGCTCTAAGTTGTGGGCGCGGTAGATGAAGTATGTAATCTTATGGAATTGACATAAAAGGTGCGTTTAGGCACCGTACCTCAGCCACAGAACGTGGTCTCATACGGAAGGAGAGAGAAGGTAGCCTAAAGGAGAGATGTAGAGCCATATAGTAATACCTGTGTTCAACCTTCGCTACATGGTCTCCCTACTGTCTTTGGACAAGCTAGTCATGGGGGAATGTTATGGAGCGACAATATGATGGTGACATTGTCTACCAAGAATAGAATGGTCATAAAGGCCAACGACCTAAGGGACGACGGGAAAGAACCCGGAAACCTTTGCGGTCACGACGATACAAGGCCTGAAATGGAGAAAGTAAGAATGCTCTTTGAATGCAGAGAGACAAGGCAGAAACAACACTCTTTTTATCGTGTAATTACTCAGCCGTATTCTTTAGAGTACCCAAAGCGATGTAGGGCCCTGAGCGTCGCAAGGTTGTCAAAGTTTGAAGTTCCGAAAGCGGCGCTGTGTAGGAATTCGAACGAGATGGGGGGTACAGCATATTCATAGCTTTCAGGTTTTCTTGTTCGAGTGCACTGATGGAAATTCTAACCGATTTGTGCCTTACCTTTGACAGACAAACATAAGGCACCAGCATTATTCCTTACGCCACCCGCCATCTCCGATTGTGCCGTTGAATACGCCTCCTCTTGACATCGTGTCACGTGACACTTCAGCAACATAATTTCTTGCTGACCCCCATCTGTCGAGGGCGCGCTTTGCACTCTTCCCAAGGTGAACTTTATCCTTTTTTCCTATCTCCGACCACGAGCTCATCTCCATTCCATCTCTCGACGGCCAAAGTGCGATCATACGACAGGTGCACCATTCTTTGCATCGTATGCTCAGGTAATACCCATTCAGTGGTGTCTCGTTTACTTCTATTTACCGCATCTTTCTAACTCACTCCGGAACAGAATGTTCAACGGCGCCAGTAGTGCTACGACGGCACAACTGACCATGGACGATGGCACGGACAACGAGATGCAAACCAGGCTCAGCTTGATAACCAAAATTCGGAAGGAGCTTGATTTCAAGAGACGAACAGGCTTTTTCGGCATCTATAGAGCAGGCTTTTGGAGTCTTCTTATGGTACTTGATATCAGTCTGCTTCAGGACCTCTTGCACAAACTACAAACCCTTCGGCCCCTTCCAATGAAGGAGAAGAGAGAATACATACGACATCTCGAGCATCTCACATACGCTTTTCCGCGATTCATCAGACTATGCAAGTAACCCTGTGATGCTGTTTGAGTAAGATCTTATTTCAGCATGCTAACAATGAATAGTTCTTAGTCAGTGGGTTCCTGACGATAGATCTAGCACCATGACGACTGAAGCACATTCTCAATTCGAAATCGAACAAACAAAAGTAAGGATAGGAAATTTGCTTCACTTGGAATAACACTAATGACTACGTGTCAGGCACGGGGTCGCGATAGGGGTCTTTGCATTGCTACTGGTGTTGCAGACCCGGAAATCTGTTACATCGTTGCTCCAATTATTTGCCCTCCTGAAAGTCTGCTCCTACTGGTCACCATCGTACAATCTGCAGAAGTGATCGGATGGGATGAAGACTTTTGCTCCAGGATCAAAACAAAGCTTTCGGCAAGGCACAAGGGCATTACAACCCTGATGACGAACATGCTGTGTCTAAGCCGTCAGCTAGAGCCCAGCTGGTCCGAAGGGCTCTTCGCCTTGGAGCCCCTTGAATCACTCGACGACGACTCATCACTGGCCATAATTCGACTAAGGGTTCATTGGCTGAAACGTACTAGGATTGCGTCTATGGCTAGCAGGATTGCAAAATCCTTCTCCACAGACCCCCGCGATGTTTTTCTCGAAGAGGAATGGAGCCAGGTCAACTCCCGCCCGATCAAAGATGGATCTGTCATTGAGATCTCGGCTGAGAGCCAGGATCAGCTCCCAGATCGAGACTTGCTTCGCCTGAGGTGGCTTCTGATGAGGCTCCATGCTTTATCTGGGGCGCCGGACCCCCGTATATACCCTCATGGCCATGGTGAAATTGGTGACATGATGGCAGTAGGGGGGATATACGATGACGACCACTCGGAATATTATGAAGAAGAGGATTCTATGTAACGTGATCATCGACAAAGAAAGCGCTCATTTCTAGTGGCACGCAGTCTTGGCGGTGTAGGGTTTGGTTGAGTGGTTCTGTTCGGGCTGGGAGAGAAAGTTTCTGTGAAGCTCTTGACGGCCAGGAAGGTAGTCTAGAATACCAGGACTGTGAGAAGAGAGGCCGAGCTGTGGTCTTTGCAAAAGGTCGTAAAGAGCAAGAATTTTGTATCGTTGATCCTTTCGGTACATCAAAAGTAATTAACTACTCTTATTCTTTGCAAAATGTTTTTTTGTCCACGATACACAGTTGGCAAGTGATAGGATATTAAACAAGTCCTATACAGACTTTTCACCTCTCTAGTTCTGATAGAAAAGAGACCCTATTAATCAATACATGTACGTTAAACAGTGCTAGTAATTCCGTCGTCAGCCTTTCTCGAATTATTCTTCAATCCTGCTCTAACTATTGTATGATTGGCGATATAAGGGTGAATAGGCGGAATAAATACCACTTGTTCTTAAGGACATGGCCTTTGTAAGATATGAGGTCTAGGGATATAGCAAAAAGGCTATGCGGTAATTCAATTGTCATTGTTGCGGTACATTCATGATGTTCTATCAAACGTTTGCCAAAAGATATTTCATGCCATTCCACTGCTCAATGGCGCTGGGCAAGATCTGAGCTGCGGGAAGAACAAAGCCACCACCAGCAGATCCGGAGGGTCTCAGCTCGATAGTCCAAGCGACCTCAGCACCAGCAGCGCCAGTAAGGTAGTCAGGAGCGCTGCCAGTGGTAGCATACAGAGTAGAGCAGCTGGGTCCGTAGGTGAAGCGAGTGCCGTAGGCCTGGGCAATGGTGTTGGCAGTGCTGGTTGCGAGAGTCATCTGGCGGGCGTGGTTGGAGGCTCGGGCGGAGCAGTCGTAGCCGTAGGGCAGGAGGATGTACTGGCCGTAGCTGTGCCAGTCGATGAAGAGCTTGATTCCGTTTCCGGCGGCGAGGCGGTCGGTGTAAGCCTTCAGGGCGACCATCTCAGGGGTGTCGCCAGCGGCCTGGCCCTTGTAGGTCTCGGAGCAGTAGTTGGTGGAGGCGCCGCCGGGGAGTTGCCAGTTGAAAGGCCAGTTGCTATCGAGCGTCAGTTCTGGCTCTCGTAGTTAATGATGTGATGAACGCACCGGTTGATGTCAGTACCGACGCAAGTGCTGCCGGATCTGACTTGACGGTTCTTGCGCCAAAGGCGGTCGTTTGTCTGAGTGTAAGCAAAGCCTTGGCGAAATCAGTTACTTGGTCAAAGAGTGATGGTTTATTGGTCGATGCTTCTTACCGTCAGGGTTGACAATGGGCAGGATGTAAAAGTCGTACTTGTCAAGCAGAGCCTTGACAGCGGCATCATTCTTCTGGTAGCCATCGATGAGCTGGTAGGTGAGGTATTCGACAACCTGTCGCATATTGATTAGCACATAACATAAATCATATCGACATCAAATTCCGACAACGTACCATGGTGGTGATCCACTCGCGAGCGTGGACGGTGCCGTGCCAGTAAATGGCAGGCTTGGAGCCCTTGCCACCGCTACCCCACAGGTGAATACCGAGGAGAGAGCGTCCACCGTAAGAGTTACCAGCGTTGATCAACTCGGAGTTGGATGGGAAGTTGGACTGCAGGTCGCGGATAAACTGCTGGTGGTCGGCGAAAGTGTGGTACGAGTCAAACCACGTCAGGCTAGGGAGAGCCTGAAGAGAGATATCGTCATTGCCTGTTTAAGGTCAGTTCAAGTCCTCTTCACTCAATCCTTTTCGAAGGTCGACATGGAGGGGCTTACTCTTGTAGGGAGTAAAGGTGCCTTCTTCGGCGATGTCAGCACCAAGATCCTCGTGCAGGATGGACGTCTCGAGACCGAGCTCCTCGAACTTGGAGACATCGCCAGCGGGAATGGCGACGTCAAGGTGCTCGCTGTTGTCGAGATTGAATGGGATCGCCGCAATGTTGGCAATCTTCTTCTTAATCGACGCGGGGTCGTTATGAGTGGAGATACGGAAGGCCTTGAAGCCGTCGTAGGTGATCTTCTTCTCGAGAGGGACCACTGCCGCGGCGGATGCCAGCGGCAGGACTAGGGACAGACCAGCGAGGAACTTCATTGTCAACGGCAGACTCCAGAAGCGGTTTGGCGGTGCAGTGAGTTGAAGGCTGGAGTACGGGAGGAGAGCTGGGATATCGGGAGCGATCACCCGTCCCTATTTATGGAGATCAGATGGTAAAGCAAACTCCTGATGTCACCAGTTGAAGCCTTCCAGTGAGCCATTTCGACGTAGTGTCACCAACGGCCCTTTGCAGAAAGTGGTAGGTGTGATTGCCGCTGTCTTGGTCGTACCCTGATAAGCTCTGGGGTTGCGGTCTAATCCCCAGCATCCCCGCGAAACTACGACCCCAGTCACTCGGCTTACAACTCCGTGGTCAATGTCACCAAAAGGTTGACTGTATTCTTACAGGTTAGGATCATCAGGTACTCTGCCATTCGTCGCTGGCCTTCCCGGAGACATGGTCTGACCAGCTCGGGTGCCACAAACCGGTCGTCAAGGGTCCGACCAGCCGCTGCCGAGACGACAACTCCACCTCGAAGTAGGGATGAACAGACTGGGGCTTGCATACCTAGCTTGGGCAGCTGATATTTCATTGAAGAGCTATGAACTGGTCAGGCGGCGGGCTGTCAGTCGAGGACCTGTGGTAGCTTAGTGCAAACCTTGAATATTATCTGAGTTTGACTGTCAATGTTATCTGATCACCTTCCTTACCTGGATATGGGGAGAGATTAGCGAACCTCACTCAAGGCCAAGGCATACACAAGTCCATTATCCAGCACACCCGACAGATGGTTTGCAGACAAGTTTGAACAGAATGGGGAAGGCGGGTAGTTGACATGTTCGACTTCACCAACCGACCCGGGCACGCAACTAGCACGCAACCCTTCGAAATCCTTCTCACCTGCCCTTAAGGTTTAAGCTTAAAGCTCCCTCAACGGCAACGATTGGTGGCCAGCGTGCTAGTGGAACGAGCCGATCTGCATGGCCCGGGGTAGGCCTGGCTAGACCCTCGAATGTCACCCCGCGCGGCGGTAAGGACCCTGTTCAGTCCGAATAGTGCCCTGAGGGCTTACAGGCGATAGTTCGACTTTGGCCATGGAGTTCTGGAACATTTGGGAAGCCGCAGGGACCTTTGAAGCTATTCATGAGTACAAAGAAATCCGTCGTGTCCTTGAACAACAACTCATGGGTTGATGCATGTGGCTACCGTCGGCCACTCTACCAAGAGGCAACAGAAGGTTGGGGCGGAAGCAACTCCGCAGAGAGGGGGAAGATTCACAAAAGGCAGCTCGATAAGATGGTGATTAATTGCCAAGGCTCTAAAACGCAGGCCCCTACACGGGGATGCCCGGCGTAGGCCAGCCCGGATCGGGGGTAGATCCGCGATATTGGCTTGGCCACTCCAAGCTGGTGTCAACCAGCGAAATCTCTCCGATGGTCGGGATAGTTTCCACGGCTCCTGAAGCCATCTCGCGAATCGCTTCATTGCGACTGGCTTGCTGTCCATCATCATTTCCACGGCCAAATCTCTCCAGCAGCTCGCGTGACTTCAAGCTAATCTCGCTCATTCTCCGCCGAAGGGTTCCCTGCTTCGGACTAGCTGCAGGCGTATGCTGCGAGACACGAGAGTTCGAAGGAGATCGCTTCCGATTGGGTACCCAGCGTTTCCAGAACCGCTGTCGTTCTCCATTGTTCGCACCATTCTCAGCCTCTTCACCAGGCACATTCTCCAGCGTTTTCCCTTTATCGGACTGGATGTTGATGTCTCTCATTCCAATCTCTACATTCGCGATTCCATCCTCACTGGTATTTGTAGAGGAAGACGGCGAGTCAGCCCTTGGGCCCGCTGCACCGGCAATGCTCCGGATCCGCCCAAGAAGCACCAACAGCTTCAACACTTCATATCGAGGCAGATCGTTCTTGTTGTCCGAGACCATCTCGAAGACATCGCCGGTAACGAGTGCGCGTCCTTTATGGACACTGAATGCCATCAATGGGCCTTCATTAGGATTCGCGTCGAGCAAGTCCTTGATCTTCTTATTGTCGATGGCTGTGTTCTGATCCGTGTTCTTTGGCTGCATCAACCACTCAAATCTCAAGCGGATGAAGTACTCCAAATCCTCGACTGGGTTGATCATGGACCTTGTTTGGCGATTGTTCGGGCTGGGTGCCGGCTTCTGGGCGGCCTTCGCAGCTGGTGCTGGCCGTTGCTGGATTTCGCTCACAGGATCCAGGACAAAATAACCCCGCCCCATCCAATCGTGCATTGTAGGACTTAGGCAAATCATGTTTGACACATGATCAATCATGTCTTTCTCTGCAATGAGGTTCGTGAGTTCGAAAAAGTCATCTGTTGGCAAGAACATTTCCAATTCCTCCAATTGCCTCCTCGTTTTATCGCACACATCTTCACGACTTGCGGAGTGTGGCCAGAAATGGGCACCCTCAGGGTTTCGTATGCCAAGGAGAACACAAACTCCACCATCACGGTGGAGTGCCTGCTGATGATGAGTGAATGTCAAGTCTCGTGTCATTTTGGTCACTGCTCACCTGTTTCTTCGCTCGGTCGCTTCTGGGTTCACTCGCGGTCTCATGGGTTGCAGTGTTATGACCTATTTTGACGTAGGTTAAATAAACCAATTCTCCAAAAGACTGGTGAGCCTCCAAAAACAATATAGAACGTACAGGTTTGGCTGAGAGGGGTGATTGCTCCCGCGGCAGCGGTCAATTCTTGTATCACTGCAGGTTCGCCTCTCCTGAGCTGACGTGCGATGAGTTCCAACTTCTCCCGAGGTTGAGACACAAGCAGGCTAAAGAACGCGGCTGATGGGGCTTTGAAATCTGGTTCTAAGCCATAGGCAGCTGTATATCCTGCCAAGATTTCGTGTGCCAACGCTTCGTTGTCTGCGAATTGAGAGATGTACGCTATCGGTTTCTCGCGGTCAGGCTTGGTTTTGAGATACTTGCTCAGAACTTCGATATCAAGTAGCTCCATATCTTCTCCATTGTTGAAAAATATCTCAACGTCTTCGTGAATGGCAGAGCGTTGATTGGAACTACTCAGTGTTGCCATTTTGGTCGATAGTATGCCAGCGGCGTCATCAGGAGAAGAGGAATGTTGTAAAGTAAGCTGTAGTTGGGCGGAAAGAGAAGAGGCGAGAAATGATGTCGAGTAAAACCCGTTGATTCAGACAGGACATAAGGCCGCTTCACAAGCGGCTGGCAGCTGCTCGAGAAGTGAAGATGGAGGATGGAGAAAAGATTCTCTGAAAAAAGAGTGCAAAGGTGAACGCGAAAAAAAAATTGATATTCAAAGCGGGCCAAGAGTCTGCTTGTCAATGCCGGAGGCAAGCACGATTCACGGGTGTCTCCTTCCATTTCAGACTATTAAGAATAAGTGGTATTTATTCCGCCTATTCACCCTTATATCGCCAATCATACAACAGTTAGAGCACAATGTTTTGGTGAGTCATTCGAGTGAACGAACACCGATTTGGTCTTTAAGATTTTAAGAGCTCTAGATGAAGGGGTTCTAAGCCAATTAAACCCCGGTTCGGATGATTCTTAAATGCTACTTGGTCACTAGTATGCTTGTCGTTCATCACTGATCATGTTTCCATGACTAGAATTAGCGTGTTTTAGGTGGGTGGACTATCTTGAAGACAACTTCATCTTTGAGTCTTCATGCATGAATAACTCAATGTTCCTCTTGTCAGCCTAATGCGGAAAGAACCCATTCCTCCTCAGTCATCGCTTCGACGGAAGCCGGCAGACCTCCGTCATCCAAGTTGACATAAACACACCCACTCAGCCTGGAAACATCGAATTCAAAAGTGACACCAAGTGAAACAAACTGTTCCCTGGCCTGCCGCAGCTGGTCCAAGAGAACTTGGGACAATGGCCCATCAAAAAGCAGTTTGTTGTGAATTAGCCGTAAATCGGGGCAACAATCCGTGAGATGGCACGCAAGGGCGGGCAGGGCATCTTGAAAAGGCCTCGAGCTCTTATATGTGACCCGCAAATCCCTTACAGAGCTTGGTAGAAGATTTATGAATATTCCTTCCGTCCCTTGTTCTTCTTGATTCCCGTCTGTTGACTCATTGTTTGTGTCTTTCCACAAGCACACACTGTCAAGCTGTAAACTGGTCAAGGCCGTAAAATGCTTTAAAGAGGCGATGAGTCCCGAATTTGGTTGATCTTGATCCATGGGCGTTGACCCTCTTCTCCGGCCTGTCCATGTGTTGGAGGAGAACTTCAAGGAAAGTCCTTCCAATTGCGATCTAAAGCTTTCCAAAGCATCGACCACATCTTGCGGAGCACACCTCTCGTCTCTGAGGGAATAGTAGTCGTACTCAAAGTTCGTCAAAGAGGGACATCCTGTCAAGATATTCTTGAGCTCTGAGCCAGTAAAGTTTGATGAGGTAAGTCGGAGATCCTTGACCCTCTCAAATCGCCAGCCCTCCATCGGTGCCGTTACGCCCTGAATACTGAGCGTTTGAAGATTAGGAGCCATCTCACTTAGTAGCCGAGTAAAGTTGCCGGGCCCGAATAGCCGCAGGTGAACCTTTCTCAACAGAGGGAACATGGGCTGGCGGTGGAAAGAGGATGAGTTTTGAATTGTCGTTAATACTTGGAAGGCATTTCGGTAGCGGCCTATACTATAGTCGAGTGTGACAAGGTTGGGCGTATGTGCGATGATGAGTTCTGCAAAGAAAGCACGCACAGTGACGAGCCGCTGCATATCGTCATCACTGAGAGCCCAGCCCCGCCTACCCTCGAGAGATGGGTGAGCGCCGCCGAGACGGAGTAGTTCCGGAACCGGGACATCAAACTTGGAAGCTGTCTCAAGGACGAAATCCATGTCTTCCTCGTTTATGGCAGGCACGGCCCCCCGTGATGATGGACAGCGGACGCTGGAGACATGTGCAGCGATCGTTGGCCTGGTGACTAAGGTGCGTAGTAAGTTCGCTCTGGTATCGCGAGTCGGACGAGGGCTAGATCCTCGAGGTCGACGTCTCCCGGTACTTGTCGTTACGGTGATATGTCTAAAAATGATGGGGACTGAAATCGTCCGCAAATATTTTGAAGCCAGAGAGATTGACAAGAGTCCCGCCTGATCGTCTCCAAGTGATGTACAGATTGCAGTCAACACCTCCGGGGGGAGGTTTTCGAGCTTGGTGGCTTGCATCCTGTGTGAACGCAGTCGTTCTACTCATACAAAGGTAGTGGAAGTGAGATAGACTATGACCGTGGATTGAGGACGGTGGCCGTTAGTTGGAAGTTCGTGAGATTGGAAAATAAGCTACTAGTCTATTGAAGATTGCTGCCTGTCTACCCCACTTTGGTAAGCAGCTAGCCGTGGTTGGGCAGATTTAGCTCCCATGTGCAACTCGACGATGTGATGCAACGCTGATTCCTTGTCGTCTTATATGTGAGGTCCTTGGCTCTCTTCGGCTGGCTACTACAACCAAGGGCTTTGCACTCAAGTAGTACAAGCTGGTATGCATACCTCTCATACTTTCGCAGCCTGGATTGGCATCCTTGATTGGAACCTGCGCTAACTTCAACGGTCTCTGAGTCTTGACCTCCACACGAGAGATGGATTCCTAAGTTTAGGGCGAGGTCAAAAGCTGATCGAGTGAAACGAAACGAGAAAAAAAGTGGTATTTGATTGAAGATCTGATTGTCAAATTTAACGTGATAGAAACTTGAAGTTATTTAGAGACTGTTCTCCTGACGCCGACTCCGTGTATGTCCTTACTCCTCTTCCCGGTGTCCAAACTCCATTATTCCCAATCCTTTTCTACTTTCCACGCATCGCTGGGCCTCAATCCAGCAGCTCCAAAATCGCAACCTCGATGGCCCCATTTCCGGCGGAAAGTTTCTCGTCCGGCCTCCGTCATGACGTCTATCCCGATCTGGAATCCAAGGGCATCATATGAATAGGGCTCCCGTGGATCTCCTCCCCTCTGACCCAACTGCCAAGTATTCCTCTCGCGATCCGCATGCTTATGGTTGAACATATCCTGGCTGATTCTGTGCAGCCTCCTAAAAGACGTCAAAGGATCGACGGCCGTCGTTGAATCCTCCTCCGTGCCATCAGCCGCATCATCCACCGGCGCCCCCGTCTCATCCAATTCCGGAACAGCGTCAGGCACCGGAAGGCTCCGCTTGTCGTCTTGCAGCGGGACCTCGCCTAAAACCTTGCTCTGTGGTGGATTCGGGTCCGTGAAGCCAAACCCCTCGGGAACCTCCCCCTCGCGGTACAGGACGCGTAAGTCATCCAGCACTGACGCAACATCCTGGACTATACCCGCCTGCGCCTCTTTGATGCTCCATCCCGCCTCCTCGAGCCGCCAATGCATGTCGCAGTCCGTCATGTAGTACGGGATGAACGTGTCGAAGCCACCGACGTCTTCGTAAGCGCGCGGGTTCACCAGGGCGAGGTGGTCGTATGCGAAAAAGCGTGCGCCCCACTTGTGATCTGATCGCATCGTCTCATTCAGCTCCTTGACGGCCAGCTCGTAGATGGTCTGGTACTCGGGCGTGCCGACCGCGCCAGAGACTCCCGGGATTCCTTCCTCGCTGGAGAGGACGAAAGCGTCCATGTGGCTCCAGAAGTAGTACGACCACGGCTTCTCCTTTGCGACTGTGATGAAGAAATTTTGGAGCTGCGCAAAGTTGAGCAAGACCGGCGTGCGCATGACGTGGACGCCGAGCATGTGGAGCTGCGTGTAATTGAGATAGAACGGGTTTTGCAGCGATAACCGGCCCCGGGCATTCGAATCATGAACACCAGTATTCTCCACGACGTAGATCTGCTCGGCTGGCCATCCAGCGGTGATGTATCCGACCACTGTCTGCAGCAGCATCGGCCAACTCCGCGTGAATCCAATCATCAACGGTGGCGCGGTCGTCAAGGAGTATTTGTGGTAGACGTTGGGCTTTTCGGGTCTATTCCACGAAGGAACCGGCGGCGGCATGCCCGAAGAGAGAAGCGGGAAAGGATCTTTGACGGGTGGTGGTGTCCATGTCGGCTGCGGCTTGTATTTGGGTTTCGGAGTCGGTGTCGATGTCAGGCTGTTGATCTTTGGTGGTTTCGCGTCAGCCACCTTCTCGATGACTGTGTATCCGAACTCGGTTTGGACGAAGAATAGTAAGAGGCAGACTGCCAACAAGACGTAGATGATGGGGACATTCCGACTTGATCTCGGACCAGTCATTGAGAGCATCCGAGGTGCTGGCATCGACAACATCGTGAGTCTGTGGTAAGTCAAACCCCCCACTTCCTGGCACCCCCCTGTTTCTGGCACCCACAAAAACGATGGGATCACAACCCAACCTCCTCATTACTATTAACTATTGATCCTCAACCACACCCACTACAATACAACTGCCAGCCTCACTAGGGCATTCAGAGTCGCTGGATTCAGCCGTAATAACCTCCTTTTCACCCGCTTCGATTTGAGCCCGATGGATATCCCTGATGTTCGCAAACTTCGTGTTGGGATCGATCTGAACAGTCTTCCTCTTCCTAACTGCAGCGTGGTAACTTGAGCCCTCAGGTGAGCCAGCTGCTGCTGGGCAGCTGCCAGTTGCCAGGCCTGCTCTGTGAAGCCTTTTTTCACCTTCCTGAACAGCAGCCGTTGAGTGCTGGTATCATTGTCGAGTTGGGTGTATAAGTGCAGTTGACCGCTGAGCTCTGCCAGCTTCCTGGGTGTCGACCAGACCACTGCAGAGGAAGCAGAATCCCATGGCTCAACAGGGGTAGTTTGTTGACCATTATGGCATCGCTTTTTGCCCCGACTGGTTGGTTTGGGTGTGGTGGGCTTAGCAGAAGGCTCAGGTAATACCATAGGGTTCATCAGGGGCTTAACCATCGCTACAGGGTGTAGACCAGTCCACTTCCAACCACTTCTGATGTTCGAGACTGATAGACCAGCAAGTCGAGCCTTCTGGTAACAGTCCAGGAAGTTCCTTTTACCTATAATGGTAGAGTCGTTCCATTGAGACAAGTAACCGAGCTCCTTCCGATAGGCTGACTTAACAGGGCTGAAGACAGACTGGTCAAGTGGCTGGAGGACAGAGGAGTGTGGTGGTAAGAACAGTAAATGGATATTGTTAATATAGCAATTCCACATGAAGTCTGTCGTCGTATGACTCCCATGCCCATCCACAATCAACAGTCGAGCCTCGCCCTCAGCCTCGGGCATAGTCTGTGGGATAAACACCTTCTCTAACCATTCAATGGCAGTTAAGTCTGTAGTCCAGCCATTATCTGTTGCTGTAAACTCCCACCCATCGTATGGAACCAGATGTAATGGAAACCACTGTTGTTGGACCGTCTTCCCTTGAAAATGATAAGAGGACGAAGTGCCCTACCCAAGGCTGAGATACACTCAATGATAGAGACCCATGCCCTCGACCCAGGTTGTTTCTTGCGAACAGACGTCGTCTCAGCCATGCCCAGCACTAACCCATTAGCTCCTGACCCTCGAGGATGCCAGTCTCATCCATATTATATCTGTTGGCTGGTTTGATGTCCTTGATCTCAGGGGGAGCAAGGAACTTAAACCAGTTCCTAATGACCTCAGTAGATGCCCCATTAACGCGTCTAGAATCGATGGAACGACTTCTCTGAACCTTAATGATAGGGTTCCTTCTCACGAAGGCATAGATCCAGCCTTTCCTAATGGTTTGGTATCCCCAGCAGCAGCCAGAACTCGCTCTGCGAATTCCTTCACCTGTTGGTGCGTTGGTGCGAGGCCCAGCGAAGCCTGAATGCGAACCCATTGTGCCAGCTTACTCTCCTGGTCAGGAGACAGCCTCTGCCAGTCAGCAAAAGCCACTTTCCTAGTCTGACCACCTTGGAGACGTAGTTGGAGGGTTGATCGTGGTATCCCATACTCCAATGAGGCTCTCTTTTGACTCTTGCCGTTTGAGATGTCCTCGAGAGCCTGACGAAGCTGATCTTCGGTATATTGAGGCATTAGATATAGAAGAAGGTATGTGCAAAAAATGAGCCCATTTGGACTCGAATTGAAAATGTTGTGATAAAAGGAGGTTGGGGGTGGGCATTGCGTTGTGGTGGATTTTCGCGTTTTTGTGGGTGCCAGAAACAGGGGGGTGCCGGGAAGTGGGGGGTTTGACTTAATGTGCTATCCGTGTTGGTGAATTCGATGTGAAGAAAGGGCGAAATTCGAAATGCCGTGGCGGAATCTAACGACCGTTGAGCGTTTGGTGGGAAGCGGGCGAGACGGGTCGAACTCGCAGCTAGTTGCTCTAGTGTCCTGTAAGACACGAAGGGTGACGTGTTCGCGTTGCCCAAGATAAGTGATACGAAATGGACGGATATGCGGCAACAAAGGCGTTGCGCCTCATTCGCTGGTTGGAAACAAGAAGCAGAGACGTTCCCGTTTGTGGTTGGTGACGTCGGTCTGAGGGCCGGTCTGTTTGACGTCGTGATACTTTTGTGTAAGGGAGCAATGCGGTTTTCCTCCTCGGTTTCTTACACGTCGGTTCCACGATGCCTTGTTTGCGTTACACGGTGATTCGGGTCTCTTATGAACAAGTTGGTAAAGGATTTCGCTCGCGTTGAAATCGAATTGAATGCTGCTATCCGCTACTTTTGGAGGATTGAATACATATATGTGGTGAACCTGACGTAGAATGCCGTTATGCACAGAGTTGTAACCGTATGGTCGAGGGGAGTGTCTTTGAAAAGTATGGGACGAAGGAAATCAGAAGCGAATTAGATAATAACACCTGACATTATTCAACAGGAAATTGAAAAAGAGTTCCTTTGTCTGATGAGCGGACGGAAAACGGAAACCAACAGAATCACCCCCTTCTCGGCAAAGA